GCGAATAGTACTGTCAGCATCAGCAGCAGGGGCAGTAGAGGCGCCAGACGTAAGATCAAACAGTGAGAGACCATCCCTGCTATCGCACTGAAGGAAAAGCTGCAGATCATCTAGCCAGACATCGAAGTCAACCGCTCGACCCTCAGCATCAAAGGTAAGAAGACTAGGACTAGCCATGATAGGAGCAGCAGCAGACTAGCAGCGGCAGCAGTGCAACTGAGCTAGGCAGGACAGCGTGACGCGGCAGGGCGGCTCGGCAAAGCAGTGCGGCTCGGCAGCGCGGCTCGGCCCTGCTATGCGCTTACCAGGGGCGGGGTCGAGGGAGGGCCGGGACAGGGCCGGGACAGGGTCGGGGCCGAGCAGGGTCCGGGACGGGGCAGCAACGGGGCCGGGACAGGGTCGGGGCCGGGGCAGGTCCGGGACGGGGCCGAGACGGGGCCGGGTATGGCCGGGACAGGGTCGGGGCCGGGGCAGGTCCGGGACGGGGCCGCGACAGGGTCGGGGCCGGGGCAGGTCAGGTACGGGGCCGCGACGGGGCCGTGTAGGGGCGGCGTAGGGGCCGCATAGGGGCCGCGCAGGGGCCGCGTAGGGGCCGCGTAGGGGCGGCGTAGGGGCCGAGTCAGGTCAGGGACGGGGCCGAGGCAGGTCAGGGACGGGGCCGCAACAGGGTCGGGGCCGGGGCAGGTCAGGTACGGGGCCGCGACAGGGCCGTGTAGGGGCGGCGTAGGGGCCGCGTAGGGGCCGCGCAGGGGCCGCGTAGGGGCCGCGTAGGGGCGGCGTAGGGGCCGCGTCAGGTCAGGGACGGGGCCGAGGCAGGTCAGGGACGGGGCCGCGACAGGGTCGGGGCCGGGGCAGGTCAGGTACGGGGCCGCGTAGGGGCCGCGTAGGGGCCGCGTAGGGGCCGCGTAGGGGCGCGCGAGGCGCCGGGTAGGTGTCGCGTAGGGGCCGCGTGGGGGCCGCGTAGGGGCCGTGTAGGGGCCGCGTAGGGGCCGTGTAGGGGCCGCGTAGGGGCCGCGTAGGGGCCGTGTAGGGGCCGCGTAGGGGCCGCGTAGGGGCGCGCTAGGCGCCGGGTAGGGGTCGCGTAGGGGCCTCGTAGGGGCCGCGTAGGGGCGCGCTAGGCGACGAAGGGGCCACGTAGGGGCCGCGAAAAAAAAAGTTTTAGGGCAGGGCGCGAGACTCGCTTCGGGCAACTAAAAAAAAATCTGTTATGGTGGGCCCTTAGGAAGGAACGGTCCCATGAGGGAACCCGCTCTATACCATGTGAAAATCAACAGGAATGGGGAGAACTAGGAAAGTGTGAGATACAAATATGAAACCTGTACCCCTTAGTGTCTACCCCACTACAGCCTACATAGGCTAAGACATATATATCTGACAATGGGCGCACTGACCCGCTACTTAACAAGCCCTTTTATCCCAATGGTCTAGTGGTTGGGATGCTGACATATTATCAGAGCGAAGGTCTCGGGTTCGAATCCCAGTGTGTGCACTTCGGGCATCCCAGTGCGGGGGGGTGTCAGAGGTCCACTGGTGATCCCCGATTGATCCTAGGGAAGGGTTACAGGCATGTTGGCCTGGGGGGTTATGGGCGCACTGACCCGCTACTTAATAAGCCCTTTTATCCCAATGGTCTAGTGGTTGGGATTCTGAAAAATTGTGTATTGTGAAAGCGAAGGTGCCTGTACCGAATATTTGGCAGCGTCGAAGCGCGCTAAACGCCCTTCTCCAACTACAAAAACCGTAGGCTGTAGTTCATTTCATTCCACCCACGTTTTCTCTATTTTCAACGGCTCTATCAACATTCCCACCACCACCCACCCCAGTACCATCTAACGCACCACAGTCACTTGGACGGATGGCTCCATAGTTAGTTTAGTTCAGTATGTACTAGCATGTGTTTAAGAACGATGCATATGTTGTAATAAGCCAGTTGCAAGAAGAACGATGCCAAATTACAAGGAACAGAAAGCAAGATTTCTCAATTACTCTGCTGTGAATACCCCGCTGCTTCCGTGCTCCACCTGCTCAGTCCAAAGTTTTGAATTTTGAGGCACCTATGGAGTGAGAGAAGTTGCTGATGCGATACGGTGGGATGGGAGGAGCGGCGGCATGGAGTGGCATTTAGCTAGAAGTGGGGAGAGCGGGAGACTGCAAGGCGGATGAAAAAATCAACCATGACGTGCTGTGCTTTGCAATGTTATTTTGTAAAATGTGATGACTTTTGAAGGATGAGAGCAACCATGATAGTCTGCATTTAGTAGAACGCATTAATTCCAAGTCTCACTATGCCATTTCTCAGTTGGTGAAGGGGAACTCTCTAATAGAGCAACGACGATAGAGCTGGCGACTTCAAAGAATCTACTGGAAGTGTACAGCAGGGCATGTGGGGATGCCATGCGACCCATGCGATGACTGGTCAACGACGAATTTTCGCACAGGGTGAAACAAGGTATAACAGCATCACCAGCTGAAGAGGGGGGAAAGTCGCGCGGGATATTTGAAGTGGGAGGGTTTTCGTGCTTAGCGTCGCATAGCAGATTTTTCGCCACCAGTTCGCCCCGCCCCATCCGGCACTTTCTGGGGGTCGTTCGATACCGCTCAGTCGGTACTGTAGTCTCGTTGCGTACGCCACGAAGAGTGGAGCGCGCTACAATCCACAACTGAACAGAACGGAGAGGTGGTTCTTGAACGTACTGGGAGGTTGGGAGCGCTGAAGTCAGGTTTAGCAGGGTTTCACCATCAGAAGAAACGAAGCACGAATCAACCTTCATACACACAGCATCGAACATCACCTTGCATTTTACATACCTTCCCTTTGTCCACCGACCATCCTCCCCCATTCAGGATCCTCCCTCGTATGTCTGAGTCATAGAATGGATTATACTTCAGCGTAAATCTCGGAATCGAAGCCACGTTGTCATGTCAACACTGCCAGCTGCTTCCACGGCTCGGCTCATGGAGAAGTCTTGAAATTGAAGTAAAGGATTAGGAAGGGTAAATAGCAAGTAGAGAGAAAGAAAACTCATAGAAGGAGTTAAGAGTGAAGTAAGACAAAATTGATAAGATAAAGAAATCTATGAAGAAGAGATTGAGTAAGAATGTAAAGGCTAATAAGGTTAAGGATAAAAATAACAAACTTGAAAGGAAGATGATGAAAACATTAAAGGGAGAGAACAATTGATTGAAAGAAAGATATTGAATGGGTGATTGATGAGAAGGTAAAAGAGCTTGAAAATTAAACAAACTTGATAATGGAAACTAAGATTTGAGAAGAAAGGAGACTTGATAAGAATGAAGAGGCTTTGAATAGGGAAGCTTTCATTGAGAAACTTGACAAGAGTGAAAGGAGGAGGTGACTTACCTTAAAGGTCTTACTTGTCATTTTGAAGGAGCTTTGTAACTTGAAGAAGCCAAGCTTGAATTGTGAATCTTGATTGTTGGAAGGAGAGTGAGAACCAAGCTTGATTGTTGAGTAGTAGATCTTGATTGTTGAGTGGAGAAGCACCTCCAAGCTTGAGTGTTGAGGTGTAGATCTTGTTTATTGTGTAGAGAAGAACCTCCAAGCTTGAGTGTTGAAGGTGAAGCTTGAGTCTTGATTAAGGTTGATGTTGAGGCCTCAAAACTTAAAATGCATTAGTCCAAAGGAGGTACATGATGGACTTAAAGAACAACCATTGATAACAATCTAGTAGAAAGACTATGAAGCATAAGCTTCTCTAGAGTTGGAGAACATGGCTATGAGCTTGGATTGGGAGAGGTTGGTGGTGAGTGGAGCCTTAGGAGCTGGGCATGAGGAGGAGGACTTTGAAGTGGCCTTGTGAGAGCTTGGAGTAGAACTTGTGAAGAGCTTAGGTAAAAACTTGCTTGTAAAGTATATTTGAAGAATGGGGTGGACCCTTTGTTTTGTATTTGGTGGAGCTTGAGGTTGGATGAAGAAGACGAGGAAATGAATGATTGTGATTGGTTAAGGTGGATAAGGTGGGGGTGATGAATGTGGCATTGAATTTAAGGCTTGGTGAGTGGAATGAATGTGGCCTTGAAATTAAGGCTTGGTGATTGGAATGAATGGGGCTTTGATTTAAGGCTTGGTAGGGAATCTTTGGATTGATTTGTGGAGGAGAAGGTTGAGGAGGATTGGAGAAGATATGAGGTGGAGGATTGAAGGATTTGTATTGGGTGAAAATGGAAGTGTGCCTTGCTGACTGGAGATAAGGATGATGAAGTGGCGAATGGGTAATGTTGGGAGATGCCCTTTGCAGATTCTAATTTTGGCTGACGGGGAAACTATGGCGAAAATTTTCGCCACGTGAAAATTTTCCCGCCACCCTGGTGCCAACAAGGTCGTCTCATCCGGTCGGCGGCGGGTGTCGCTTCCCCCAGGCCCACCTCGCCTGTCAGGACGACCTAATGATAAAATTAAATGATCAAATTAACTGTGTCGGGACGACGTCGGAGTAACTCTCGCTCGTGTGTTTCCCGCCCGTTGGCGCGCCTCGCGAAAATGTGCTTCTGTATCAGCTCGACCTGCAGTAAAGTACTAGCCGCGGGCCCGAGCGTGTCCGACTGGTACTGCTCACAGAAGCTTCGGTGTGCCTTCCTCGCACCGCCGTGAATGTCCCTGACCAGTCTTCCTGTGCATTGCGAGCAGCCTTCCCCAATTCCTGCCCGTTAGTGGCCTAGCCTAGCTCATGGCTGCGATGTACTATCGCGCAGAGGAGCAGTCCTGGGAGTAGGTCTATAAAAGCACCCAATAATCTCTCAGGATATCTCATAATTCTCCTCTGCCTCCTCTCGTACGGTGATCACCGATATCAGCTTGAACATATAGTCGAACAGTCGTCCTCATTTTCGCCTCTAATCGAGTCATTGCTCTTCATTTAACGCTCGTTACCCAATCAACGATGACGACGACGACAGCTCTTCGCCACCTTCTCGCCGCGTCGCTGCTAGCTCTCCTCGTCGTCGCCTGTAAGCACCGCCTCGATATCCGTTTTAAGAGCATGCTTGCGAACCAATGCATTCTTTCACGCCTTCCACTAATCTGCAGTGAAGCATCTGGAATCGCTCCTTCTGATGCCTCTAACGATATTCCCCCTCGACCTCGAATACCGCAACAGGCGCCGCTCATGGCGGCGGCGGCGGTGGGCGCGGACGCGGGGGTGGCGGAGGACGCGGCTTCGAAGGCGGACGCGGTGGTGGAGGCGGCGGGTTTGGCGGCGGATTTGGCGGCGGTCGGCGCAATGGCACTGGACGTCTGGGCACCCGCGTGGGTGAGTCAGAATCGAACGCTTCATTCTCTGTCTCGTTGGTTTTGGATTGTTAGCTTGCACGGCTGAACGACACAAAGACGGGCATGTCTCTTCATCAAAGCTGATGTATTGCTCTCCTCTCAGTCACCAACCAACCTTCTGTTGCATATCTCCCCTGTTGCATATCTCCCCTGTTCCATCCCTCCTGCTCCTCATCCCGCCTGCCCCTCATCTGGCCAGGAGCGGTGGTGGCGAGGCTGAACGGCACGGAGATCACCAGCGCTGCTGGGGATGTGAATGCCACAGGCGTCATCTCCCTCGCCGTCTTCCAGTAAGAGGCTCTACCTCGCATTGCCAATCAATCTCTCACTCCACCTCCTCTTCACTCCCCTGCTTCCCTCGCTGCCTTCCAGTAAGCCCCACCTCTCACTGACATGACAACCACCTCCTCATCCCCTCCTGCTGCATCTCACCCCTCTCCTGCACCACCCCCATCAGGAGTGGCAGCGACTACAACATTCGCTACGGCGTCAGCATCCGCCTGACCGCCCCCGGAGCGCCTCTCTCCATCGCCATCAGCACCGGCGCTGCCGGCTCGGCTGACAGCGGCGCCGCCCTTCTCGAGTTCTCCGCAACCGAAGCAGCGTGGGCCAACATAACTTGGAATGGCACCCGCAGGGACTCCCGCGGCCGCAGGCACACCGCTCCCGTTCCGAAATACTTTGGGTTTTTCCGCCCGGCTGCTCGTACCGGTTATGTGTATGGGTTCTCTGGTGTTTGGTATAATGCCACGCAGTACAGTAACTCTGATGGGCAAAGCTATTTCGAGGTGGCGAATCTGCTCTTGGCGAACCCAGGTGGGTACTTTGGGATTGTGAAGACTGAAGCATTTGAGGATGGAGCTGGCCGCGGTCAGTTTGCGAATTTCACCCGCCCGACCCCCGACACGTTCTGGCAGCGCAGCTAAAGCTACCGGTAGTTTGGTTATCGTTAGAGGGAGTTCTTATAAGTAGTCACCCTGGCTCTTGTTTAGATGGCCTGGAGAAGGGAAGGTGCAGGAGTGGCAGCAGTCTGTAGGGTGACACCACCATGAAGATACGTAGCTCTTTCACATTCTGTAACGATTCAGAGTGGAATGAAGCATGGCGGATTGAAATGAGAAGTCTGCAAATTCTGTGAGACCTGGTCCTTTTGCAACTACCGTACATACCGTACATGCCTAGTGGCCTGGCAGGCCGGACATTCTCAAAACAGAGTTGTCAGACATTCCCTTTCATGCCTTGTTAGGCTCAATTCCACTCCCTAAATCTATCCAAGGCTCGTTTTCTCGTTGTTAGGTTCATTTTTTGGAAAGTTCTGGTGAAGGTCAATGATCCGGGGTGGTGAATCACAAGGAAAGCGATGTTCCGTGCTGAAAAATGCTACTTCCAATCCAAACACCACCATGCACGAGATAAGCATGGATCGCAGAGGCAGGCAGACACACAATCTTCCAATCTTCCAGCACGGTACTATGCAACGACATGGAGAGCAAGTCTAGCGCTGCAGCAGTGTGACTGTCTCACGCACTGTGGCAGCACGGTGGGTGCCAACCACAGGCACTGCAGACAGACAGCAAGCAGCAGATTCGCCAGACTTGACCTCCATGCCATGCGCTCTAAACTCCTAACTCCAGCTCTGAAAGTCCAAGTGATTTCATAGTCATCCTCTCCGTTGCTTTCACAAAGTTACCAGTCCCAAATCTCCAGCATACCCATCCTCAGCTCTCTCAACTTTCCGGAAGCTGCAGCCTAACCGCGCCTACCGCCGCGCATGCCGCCACCGCGGCCCCCGGCTTGGCGGGTGTGGTTTGCGAAGGGTCCCCCGACAACGCCATCGGCGAAGGCGTCGGTGGTAACCACGCCGAAGAAGCTGCTGGGCGCGGCGAGCATGTCGACAGCCACCACGTCCGCGTAGCTGCGCCCCGCGCTGTTGGTGATCGTGCTCGCGTTGTACCAAACACCGGAAAATCCATAAGCGAATCCGGCGCGCGGGCCCCCGCGCCCGCCGCGCCCGCCGAAGAAGGATCCCGCGCTGGTGGCATTGAGATTCGGGAAGAACTGCGCCAGCGCCTGCAGCACCGCCTTCAGCATCGCGCCGCGCCCAGCGCCGCCCGCGCCGCCGGTGCTGCCGTTTCCGCCCTGCCCGAACCGCGTGCCGTTCCACGTGTAATTCTGCCACGCGGCCTCGGTATCGGAGAACTCAATAACGGAGGAGCCGCCGGCGCCGGCGGCGGCGGAGTTGATGGCGATGGACGTGGGGAGGCCGGCATCAGTCACGCGCACGCCCGCCTGGTAGAGAATGTTGTAGTCGGTGTCGGTTTTCAGCACCACCAGCCCGATCACCCCCGTCGCGTTCGCGTCGCCCACGGCCGCGTCGCTCGCGTCGAGCACCTGCGATCCGTTCATAAACGCCCTCAGGGAGCCTGCTCGTGGGGAGAGAGTTATGGGGGGAACTGGTGTTTATTAGAACCCATCCGTACCGTTGTAAACAGCACTGTATGGATGAGAATTTTGTGCTTACCAACTGGAGTGCCGAGTTTGCCGCTGATGACGTCACGCCACACGCCACCGCCAAATCCGCCGCCTCCAAAGCGACCTCCGCGATGAGCGGCACCTGAACGGATGACCACGTACAATTTTTAGCTCCTATGCATACTAACAGTAAGTAGAGATGTCTTGAAAAGCCTTCGAAAGGGATGAGTAGGCTCAATGTAGTGGATGTGTCAGAGCACATGAGAGTGGCACTGTTGCTGCTAACTCGGGTGCTGAAAAGGAGATGACGGAAACGTGGACTGGCATTCGTTGCAACTCACATGAAATCACAAGCGCTGCGAACAACGATGCGATGAGGAGATATTTAAAGGCCATATTGCAAACGAAGAATTTGGAAGTCGATAAGTCGATCAGTTGATCAGATGAGCTGAGTGATGAGTTGAGACTGGAAGCTGGAGCAGTAGACAATGAGTTGAACGTGGAGAGGAGAGAGAATATATATGTGATGTGATGTCGTGAGTCATGACTGCCAGGCTGGATGCGCTTCGGGAAGCGGTGGGCAACGCATTGAAAATGCGAGAAACATTTCCATTAGCGAGACAACGAGAAGTTCGTTTGTTCGTTTGTGTGCTCGAGACGTTGGTCCCTGACATGTTACCAGCAGGCGAAAGATCGAGGTCGTTGTCGTAGGAGCACCGCATCACGCGGCGCTTACTAGCTTTAGCGAAAGGGTCGATTCTCTCCTGCTTGATTCGTTTCCGGTTTCGCGACTCGCCGTTAATGCGGGAAACGACAAGAATTTGAGTCTATGGCAACCGTCCGTCCCTATGGTGTGGCTCGGTCGTACAGAAACTGGCCGGTCAACCAGATGACTCAACAACATTGTACACTAATGAGGATATACAATCGCAAGTGATACGATTACTTGTTATGAGAATGAGTAGTTTGACAAACGAATCATAATCACACAATGATGTCAGACAGGACAAATCAGAAATCGTCTGGGCGTGTAGCTACTTTCCCAACTTCTCTGCAGCAAACTTCTTAGCAACCTCCATCGCCTCGTTCGCACCCGAAGCCTTGTTGCCCTGAAAAGAAAAGCGGAAAGGGCATAGAACCGGAGCACAAGCTGTGAGACCTGTATTTATTGTAAACGCACGACACAACACCTCAACAGCAAACTGGAATGGCTCCATCATGCAACCCCTTCGAGAATTCTCAACTCCCGTCAACTGTCCCATGCCCCACCTCCCCCCTCACGCCTCACCGATTCTCTGTCAACTCCCCCATGCCACACCTATCCTCAAACCAACAAGACCTCATCTCTGCTTCCTCACCTGCCCCTGAGCCAGCCCGCCCTTGCCGCCGCCCCCCTTGCCGTCCACGGGCACGAGCGCCGCCCGCAGCCACTCCAGCACGGACAGGCCGCGCGCTGCCACAGCATCAGGCACACCCGCGTACAACAGCACCTTGCCCTTCTCCTCGTCCACTGATACCATCAGCACCGCCAGCTCCTGGTTGGGGGGTGAGGGGGTGGGGAGGAGGGGGGGATTGAAGAAACTCCAACACAGAGCGCCCACTTGCTGCTATGACATTCTGCACACCCGCATACAACAGCACCTTGCCCTTCTCCTCATCCACTGATACCATCAGCACCGCCAGCTCCTGGAGTGTGGGGGGTGTGGGGTGGAGGGGTGTGGGGAGTGTGGGGTGTGGTGGGGAAAGGTGGGGTGTGGTGGGGAGAGGTGGGGTTTGGAGGCAACAAAGGGGGGTTGACGCCACTCCAGCACAGGCAGTCCGTGTGCTGGAGTTGCGGTGCTGATGGTATCAGAGGACAGGTGTATGTGTGACGCCACTACAGCATCACAAATACCTCTCCTCTGATGCCATCAGCACCGCCAACTCCTGGTTAGGGATGGGGGGAAGGGGGGAGAAGGGTTGAAGGTGCGAGGCGAGGGAGTGCAGGGATATATGCCTCCATCAACCCTGCTTTACCCCCCCCACGCTCACACCTGCTCCTCCCTCCGTCAATTTGCAGCACACACACACACACTCCCTCAACTGCTACCACTACATACCACCATATTCCCCCCACCCACACCCCCTGTTTTCCCTCCCTCTCCCCATTCCCCAAAATTTAACCTTCTTCTGCTGTCCCACAATGGTCACCACCGCTTCCCTGATCGCATTCGGGTCCAGCCCCACGTCGATCCGCAGCACACACACACACTCTCCCCCCCAACTCCTGCCATTGAACACCACCGTATTCCCCCCACCCACACACCCAACTCTCACCTTCTGCTGCCCCAGCACAGTCACCACGGCCTCTCTGATGGCATTCCGGTCCAGCCCCACGTTAATCCGCAGCATACCCCCTTCTATCTCCCCCCTTCCCAACTGTCACCTTCTGCTGCTCCAGATCTCACCTTCTGTTGCCCCAGCACAGTCACCACGGCCTCCCTAATCGCATTCGGGTCCAGCCCCACGTCAATCCGCAGCACACACACACTCTCCCCCGCAGCCACCATAACATACCACCATTTCCCACCCCCCCACAGGTCTCACCTTCTGCTGTCCCAGCACAGTCACCACGGCCTCTCTGATGGCATTCGGTTCCAGCCCCACGTCAATCCGCAGCACACACACACTCTCTCCCATAGCCACCATGACACACCACCAAATTCCCCCACACCCACACCCCTCGCTGCCCCTTCTCTCTCCCCCATCCCCCGCCCAACTCTCACCTTCTGCTGTCCCAGCACAGTCACCACGGCCTCTCTGATCGCATTCGGGTCCAGCCCCACGTCAATCCGCAGCACACACACACTCTCCCCCGCCGCCGCGGTCGCTGCCGCCGTCTCCACAGCGGTCTGGATGGCGAGCTTGAGATTCGCCCCAGCAGCTGCTTTCTGTGCCTGGCGCAGGCGGTCATGCAGCTTCAGCAGCGATGCCTTGAGCTGTGCCTTGTAGGCCGCAGGGATGACTGCTGCGTCGACTGAGCCTTTCAGTGCTGCCACCTCCTGTTTGTGTTGGAAAAGTGAGAGGGGCAGGGGAAAGGGATGGGGTATGAGAAAACAGAAGTGGGAGTGCCAACACAGGGTGGTGCCTGCCGTCTCAACAGCCGTCTGAATGGCGAGCTTGAGGTTGGTTCCGGCGGCTGCTTTCTGTGCCTAGCGCAGGCAGTCGTGCAGCTTCAGCAGCGGTGCTTTCAGCTGAGCTTTGTACGCTGCCGGGATGACAGCAGAGTCAACCGAGCCCTTAAGTGCTGCCACCTCCTGTTAGAGGGGGACAGGAAGGGGGAAGGAGGGAGAGAAGGAGTGGGCTTCAGCTGTGCCTGGCGCAGGCGGTCATGCAGCTTCAGCAGAGATGCCTTGAGCTGCGCCTTGTAGGCCGCGGGGATCACCGCTGAATCCACTGACCCCTTTAGGGCTGCCACCTCCTTTAGCTCAGCGAGGGCAATGGCCTTGCGGTGGTCAACGGAGGTCAACAGAGGTCAACGGAGGTCAACGGCGGTCAACGGAGGTCAACGGCGGTCAACGGAGGTCAACGGCGGTCAACGGAGGTCAACGGCGGTCAACGGAGGTCAACGGCAGTCAACGGAGGTCAACGGCGGTCAACGGAGGTCAACGGCGGTCAACGGAGGTCAACAGAGGTCAACGGCGGTCAACGGAGGTCAACGGAGGTCAACAGAAGTCAGCAGGGGATAACAACCCCTCCTTCTCCAATGCCGTGCCGGACAGCTTGCCGGCCGCTTCGATCCGGGCGGCGTACTGGTCGGCGAGGGCAATGGCCTCCTTGGCCTTGGCAGTGGTGAAGGCGATGATGCGGCGCACACCCTTGGCTATTCCCTCCTCGCTGATGATCGCAAATGACTCTGCCTCAGTCGTATTGCTGATGTGCGTGCCTGGGGGGGAGAAGAGAGCAGAGCAGGGAAAGGAGGAGCAACGGACAGAGGGTAACGGACTGGGGGGAAAAGGGTGATGATGCGGCGCACACCCTTGGTGATACCCTCCTCGCTGATAATTGCGAATGACTCTACCTCAGTCGTGTTGCTGATGTGCGTGCCTGGGAGGGGGGGGTGTAGAGGAGGGGAGGGGAAGGGGAGGAACATATACAAGTATGAGATCACATGTAACTCGTACAAGGGCCCACTGGGGGTGAGATGACATTACATGTACGAGCGCACTCATGTCACACACAATACTCAAAGCCACAGGGTGATTTTCACTTTTTTTTCAAAAATACGATACTCGCCGCCACAGAACCCGATGGAGCTGTTGGGCCACTGGGGGTCGTATACAGGAACAACATTCATGGAGAGGTAAGGCCTCTCTACCCACAGCTGAAGGTATGGCTGAACTCACAAGCATGGATGAGTGTGCAGCACTCACTGCCACATAACTCGATGGAGCTGTTGGGCCATTGGGGGTTCTCCGGATCCTGCAGCAACTGCTCCACTGGCGATACTCATCGACAAAGACAATACTCACTCTGGCATACAGAGACACATGGATCAAACGCACAATTCCCTACTACACACAGCACAATTCACTACTACACACAGCACTCACCACCGCAGAACTCAATGGAGCTGTTGGCCCACTGGGGGTTCTCCGGGTCCTGCAACAGCTGCTCCACTGGCGCTACTCACCACCAATGACACTACTCCCTGCCATATATAGCCGCAGAACACAACTCACTACCACACAACTCACCACCGCAGAACTCGATGGAGCTGTTGGCCCACTGGGGGTTCTCCGGGTCCTGCAACAGCTGCTCCACTGGCGTGCCCACTGACACCACCCGCACTGGATCGGGGTAGACCTGAGGAGGATCGCATGGAGAGGCAGGGAGATTTGTGAGAGACAGAGGGCCACACAATAACAGTAACACACTCCTGGTCCTGCAGCAGCTGCTGCTGCTCCACTGGCGCGCCCACTGATACCACCTGCTCTGGATCGGGGTAGACCTGAGAAGCAGGGGATAACGGGACAGGAAGAAAGATCATGGAGAGGCAGGCGGACTCGAGCGCGCACACGGGCAGACCTGACTTCACCCGCTCCACCACCTCCCCCTAGATCCTCGCCACACAGACCGGGTCGAATTACACCTAAAAAAAAGCGCTGACCAGTCTCACTGCTCTCCACCACTATCCACCGCTTTCCACCGCTCTCACCTCTCCGAACACCGCTCTGAGCCCCATGATGCGCCTGGTGACCGTGAGGCTGGACTCGAGTGCGGGCAGAACCACCCTCACTCGCTCCACCACTCTGCCTCAACCCTAGACATACAGACTGGGTCGAGTTACACCTGAAAAACAACTGACCATTCCCACCGCTTTCCACCGCGCTCACCTCTCCAAAGACCGCTCTGAGCCCCATGATACGCCTGGCGTCCGCGAGGCTGGACTCGAGAGCGTACACGGGCAGACCCGCCTTCACTCGCTCCACCACCCTAGAGTGACCATTCGCACCGCTTTTCACCGCACTCACCTCTCCAAACACTGCTCTGAGACCCATGATACGCCTGGCGTCCGCGAGGCTGGACTCGAGAGCGTACACGGGCAGACCCGCCTTCACTCGCTCCACCACCTCCCCCTCGATCTTCCCCAGGTCCTTGGGGTCGATGGGCTTCCCTGCACTTGCACAGACGGAAGCAGGGAGGAGAGTTTTGAGTCAACTCAAAAATCGCCTCATCACACGGAAGCAGGGAGGAGAGTTTTGAGTCGACTCAAAAATCGAGTGTATGTCAAGAGGGCCTTGTCTCAGCCTTGCCTTCACTCGGCCCAGCACCTCTGCTTCAATCTTCCTCGGGTCCTTGGGGTCGATAGGCTTGCTTGTACACATGCACACAAACATACAAGTGGGTGGGGATAGGAAGCACACACTTTCAGACCTGCATTGCCTCGCTTCACCACCTCCCCCTCGAACTTCCCCAGATCCTTGGGGTCGATGGGCTTGCCTGCACACATACAGAGAAGGGAGCAGGGAGATATATTTACATATATATATATATATATATATATATTTTTTTTTTTATGTGCTTAAAAAAACCAACACTATACCATGCAAGCACAAGGCAGCGCCGTTCATACATACCATGGGAGAATTCGAATCGAAGGCGGTCCTCTGCCACAACGCTGCCCTACCGGTCGACGTGGTCCCCCAACGCCTTCTTCAGCGCATGGTTCAGCAGAAGCGTGGCCGTGTGATTCGGCACCACCAGGGCCAAACGACCCACCAGAGGCACCATAGGCACCAGAGGAACCAGCCGTCAACCTTGCATTGTCTACATCAAGAGGGAGAGGAGAGCACAGCACTGACCGTGGGAGAAGTCAAAGTGGAGTCGGTCCTCCGCCACAAGACTGCCCTTCTGGTCAATATGATCCCCAAGAACCTTCTTCAGCGCATGGTTCAGCAGATGCGTGGCCGTGTGATTTTGCTACGTCATACTGTCATATGGGACAGGAGAGAACGGGGCTTACCGTGGGAGAAGTCGAATCGAAGTCGGTCCTCAGCCACAAGGCTACCCTTCTGGTCGATGTGATCTCCCAACACCTTCTTCAGCGCATGGTTCAGCAGATGCGTGCATGTGTGATTCGGTGCCACCAGCGCCCGCCGATCGTAGTCCACCTGGCACACCACCGCGTCGTCCACTGCCACGCTGCCACCTGTCACCACGCCCACATGCACCACGTAACCTCCATACACCTGCACCGACCGGACCTCGAACCTCGCATCCCCGTTATTAGCAGGTTTGATAATGGCACCGGTGTCGAAAGTCTGCCCGCCCTGCTCTGCATAGAAGCTGGAGCTGGTTAAAACGAGGCCCACTTCCGTGGATGCGTCTGCTGACGTGGCGGACACTGATTGGACGAAGCCGGACGGGGTGAAGATGGCGCGCACTGTGGTTGGTTGATCCTGAAGGAAGATCAGGAGGAGTGGGGACGGAGGGAGATGTGTGGAGATTCATGGTAAGAAGGGTGAGAGAGACAAGGAGGTGGGAACGCGAGGAGGCGTGTGCACGTTCAAGATAAACAAGGGAGAGACCAGGAGCAACAGAGGGTTGCGGAAGGTGTGCGGGCGGAAGTTTAAGTAAGACATGGGGGTTGGGGGGTGGAGAAGGGTAGTCAGGAAGAAAGGGGAAGGGTCGAGTGGGAGGAGCAAAAAAAAGGGGGTTAGTGTATACTAAAGGTTGGAGAAGCAGGGAGTGGAAGGTTTGGTGTGGACGTGGTGTGGAATGAAGTGCAAGAGTAACACAGGAGACACGCAGAAGTTGTCTGGAATGGTGCTCACCTGGCGCCACACGTATTTGGCCGAGTCATCGGTGGGATCAATGCCTCGCTTCTGCCTCACTCACATATGTGAGCTCCCAGACCGGACCTTACTGAGAGTAATGCAGAAGGAGGAATTATTTGTTAAAGTCATGCTCACCTGGTGCCACACGTATTTGGCCGAGTCATCGGTGGGATCAACGCCCCGCTTCTGCAGCTCTGCCGTCGCCTCTGCCTCCATCACCAGCGCCCCTGCCCCGCCCTGCAAGCCACAACAGCAAGCAGAGAGAAAAGAAGTTTCAATAACTTAGGCCCATGGAAAGTATCTGCAGCTCTGCTGTCGCCTCTGCCTCCATCACCAGCGCCCCTGCCCCACCCTGCCATGCCAGCCACAAGAAGGAAAACCCATTAGATTTAAATCCCGTCCCCGCAATGACGACTCCATAAAAAATATCGAGGCACCTCTGCCTCCATCACCAGCGCACCCGCCCTATCCTGCCCTGCCCTGAACAGGAAGACAAGAGAGAAATGCCAACAACAATACTTGGGACATTTCAATCTGCTATACATTTTTAAAAGAACCTCTGTCTCCATCACCAGCGCCCCCGCCCTGCCCCACCCCACCCCGCCCGCACTGAAAAGGGAAAATGCACGTATGCAATGTTTTCGGCAAAACAAAGGAAATTGTCTCGGGTTTAACTGGATTCATTCTTCATTTCAATATAGCGCCCCCGATTCCCCCAACCCTCACCTTGCTCCTGGCCCCTCGCGACATCTCCCTGGCGTCCGTCATCGCCTTTTCGAATGCTGCCACGTCTCAGTGCACCCCCACTCCCTCCCAGAGCCCAACCCATGCCATTCCCCATCCCCCTTGTCTCTCACCTTGCTCCTGGCTCCTCGTGACATCTCCCTGGCGTCTGTCATCGCCTTCTCAAATGATGCCATGTCCACTGTCAAACCCTTTTCCTCCGCCATCAACTGATGTGAGGGGAGGAGAGAGAGGGATGAAGGAAAGTAGAGGGGAGGGGGCCTCACCTAAGGCAAAGCCAGAGGCAGAGGCAGAGGCTGAAGGAGATGCCAAGCAGAGCAGACGTACAGGAAGGCATACCAGGGTTTTGAGGCACCTCATAAAACAAATTCAGAGGCAGAAGAACAGGCAGGCGTACCTGGGTAAGATCAACCGGGAAGCCGAAGGTGTCCCAGAGAACAAAGGCGTCCTGTGTGTGGGAGGAGAGGCGGATAGGCAGATAAGGAGAGGAGCAGAGGCAGTACAGAAGAGCAGAATATGAATCGACTCAACAAGGTGTCCCAGGGCACAACGGTGTTGTGTGTGACGCGGGAGGGGTGAGAGGGAGAGGAAGAGGAAGAGAGGGATGAGGGGGAGAAGGGGAAAGGGGGGCGGGGGAGAAGAACGGGGTAGGGAGGAGTGGAGGACAAAGGCAGGCGGATGGGATAGCTAGCGATGGAAAGAACGCCTTTAGGAACGAACAAACTGAGATGACTTTTGAGTCGACTCAAAAGTCATCTCGGAGGACAAAGGCAGGCGGATGGGATAACTAACGATGGAAAGAACGCCTTTAGGAACGAACAAACTGACATGGAAGCAGCAGAGTGGCATGGGAGGAGCAGAGATCAAGACTCGCACACACATCTCACATCACCGCATCTCACATCACCGCATCTCACATCACTGCACACCGTAACACCGCACCTGGCCACTCAGCTTGCCGTCCTTCACTTCAGAGGCAGCCTTCTCAAACCGTTGCAGGCCCTGCAAAGGAGGGGGTGGAGGGGAGACGAGCGGGAAGAGAAGCGGAGAGAGGGGAGAAGAGTCGGAGGAGCAGCGGAGAGAGGGGAGAAGAAAGGGGAGAAGGGGGAAGTAGTGGAGGGGTCGAAAAAGGAGTGAGGCAAACCGTGTGATCACTCGAGTACTGATCAGGCATTGTGAAAGTCTCTAAAACAAATCTGCGCAGTTCACCCACTTCAGCATGCACACACTCTTTCAACCCAAAATCATCGACTAGAGAGGTGGAGTCTAAAAGTCACCCACCTTTTGGAGGGTACGGCCGAAAGCAGCCTCTTCCTCACTGATGATGTCTTGAATGCGCCGGCCGTGCTTGCGCAGCTCAGGGAAGGTGTCTCCCATGAGGTCAGCGAACACTGGCACCAACCTACAAGGGGGAAAAGGGAGGGCAGGGGGTAGGGAAGGGGAGGCGTGGGGGGACGTGTCTCCTCCTCACTGATGATGTCTTGAATGAGCCGGCCAGCTCAGGGAAGGTGTCCCCCATGAGGTCCGCAAACACCGGCACCAAGCTACAGGGGGAGAGAATCGGGGCAAAGGGAGAGGGAGCCACACAACAGCACTGACAATGTTTTTGAGAATCAAATAAACCCACTCAGTCACTCACAAGAGCGCTCACAAAGTTTTTTAGAAATATCATATACACCCACGTCCATTCACTCATGGACAAGAGCAATCACAAGCTAAGGTATCCGTCCTGAGCTCAGCTCCCAGCACATCGTGCGGAACGGATTCAGAATGCAGCACAGCACATAGTCGCGACCGTCAGAACTTTGGAACTCGGGACCCCCCAAAACAACACTGACAATCTCACACACGCTCACGAGGTAAGGACACTCACGAGTCACAACCCAGAACAACACTCAAGTGCTGAAGAAGCCCTCCTGGGCGCCCAGCACGTCCCGGCCGTAGCGCACAGCTCGCCTCAGGATGCGGCGGCGACCGTCACTGCTCAGGACCGATGCACATGCTGCACAACCACATGCCAAGGGCACTCACGTGCTGAAGAAGCCCTCCTGAGCGCCCAGCACGTCGCGGCCGTAGCGCATGGCGCGCCTGAGGATGCGGCGCAGCACTTAGTCGCGACCGTCGCTGCTTTGAGAGTTGACTGTTGAGACGTACCAATAAAACTCTCACGATCTCACACACTCACGTGCTGAAAAAACCCTCCTGGGCGCCCAGCACGTCGCGTCCATAGCGCACGGCTCGCCTCAGGATACGGCGCAGCACATAGTCGCGACCGTCACTGCCGGGCCTGGCGCCGTCAGCGATGGCGAAGGAGAGAGTGCGGATGTGATCCGCCACCACTCGGTACGCCATGTCCTTGTTGCCCGTGTCCTCCTTGCCCAATTTTCCCTCGTACGGTGCTGCTCCCGTCACCTGAGAGGCAGGCAATCAGCAGGGTTGGGTAGAAGACAAGGACATGAGAAGCGTGGTGAGCCATGGCAAAGGAGACAGTGCGGATGTGATCCGCCACCGCTCGGTACGCCATGTCCTTGTTGCCCGTGTCCTCCTTGCCCAGCTTGCCTTCATAAGGCGCCGCTCCTGTCACCTGGCAGGGGGGAAGGTATGACAGGGCAAACAAAGGCAGCAGGAATTGGTTGAAAGGAGAGAGTGCGGATGTGGTCTGCCAGCACTCGGTACGCCATGTCCTTGTTGCCCGTGTCCTTGTTGCCCGTGTCCTTGTTGCCCGTGTCCTCCTTGCCAAGCTTCCCCTCGTACGGTGCTGCTCCCGTCACCTGCGATGCACCAGGGTTTGAAAGAACACAGGCAAACAAGCAGCGTCTGTCTGACAGAGCACAAGCACCAGTGGATGCATGCATGGAGGCGCCGTCAAAGTTTTTTTTAGAATTCTCAAAAAATCCCTGCACCGTCACCTGCGATGCACCAGGGTTTGAAAGAACACAGGCAAACAAGCAGCGTCTGTCTGACAGAGCACAAGTGGATGCATGGAGGCGCCGTCAGCTTTCCCTGCAGGATGGACGTCAGCCGCTCAAAGCCCAAAGCCCACTCGAACTCCTCCCCACTCTCCCAACCCTCTCTTCCCCTCCATACCTTCTGGATCGCCTCAAAGATGGGCATGAACACGTCAGTGTCGTCGATGCTCAGCTTGCCCTCCCTTCAAACCCCACCCCCCTCTCTCCCTCTCTCCCCTCTCTCCCCTCTCTCCCCTCTCTCCCCCTCTCTGCCCTACCCTGCACCTTCTGGATAGCCTCGAAAAAGGGCATGAACACATCAGTGTCGTAGTTGCTCAGCTTGGCCTGCAGGATGGACGTCAGCGGCTCAAAGCCCACTCAAACTGCTTCCCTCACCTTACCCAGCCTTGCTCAACCCCACCCAACCCTGCTCAACCCCTCTCCACAGCTTCCCACCCACCTTCTGGATAGCCTCGAAGATGGGCATGAACACGTCAGTGTCGTAGTTGCTCAGCTTGCCCTGCAGGATGGACGTCAGGCGCTCAAAGCCCATCCCCGTGTCCACGTGCTTGGCCGGCAGCGTCTTAAGCGTGCCGTCTGCCTCACGGTTGAACTGTGGGGTGAGGTGCGGTGGGGTGGGGTGGGATGAGATATTGGAGTGGAGCAGGCGCTTCCAAGGAGCATCAAGCACGTCAGGCGCTCAAAGCCCATCCCCATGTCCACGTGCTTGGCCGGCAGCGTCTTCAGCGTGCCGTCTGCCTCGCGGTTGAACTGTGAAGGAGGTGTGGGGTGGGGTGGGGTGGGGTGAGGTGAAGCATGAATGTATGGCATTACGAAAAGCAAGCATGTCAGGCGCTCAAAGCCCATCCATTAGGTGTTGTTCCAGATCTAGCATACTCACTAAAAGGACACTCGTTTAGAGCAAGCTCGCACCTGGATGAACACGTTGTTCCAGATCTCAATGCACGTGGGGTCATCAGCGTTAACAAGAGCAGCAGCATCGCGCCCGCCCAGGCGGTCAAAGTGGATCTCTGTGCACGGCCCACACGGCCCCGTGTCACCCATCTCCCAGAAGTTGTCCTGCACACACGCAGGGATGGGTGGTTGGGATGGGAAGGAAATGGCTATTAGAAACTGAAAAATCACTAATGCTGCAGCATCCCGCCCATCAGGGCGTTCAAAGTGGACTACCTCTGTGCATGGCCCACAGGCCCCCATGTCACCCATCGCCCAGAAGTTATCCTGCTCGCACATGCATGCATGGTGCATGGGTCCATGGGTGCAGATACCCGTGAGCAACAGCATGCTTTAGAGCACAGCTGACATTCCAGTGCAGACAAAACTGCGTGAGAGCATGAGCCACAAAAGCATATGTGGACGGGCAGTGGGCCATCCAAGAATAACCATGCAGTGTACCAGGGACGTCTATAACGAGAACGAAACGAACCTTGCAGCCGTACGGCAGCACCCGACTGGCTGGGAGCACGGTGAGCCAGATGTCCCGAGCCTCCAGGTCCGGTTCCAAGCCTAGCTTCTCGTCCCCGCCAAAGTAGGTGGCGTAGAGGCGATCCTCTGGAAGCTTGTACACCTGATGCAGGGAAACCGGGAAACAGACAAAGCAAACAGAATAATATTTTCATAAGGTGATCCTTGGAAAAACCGTACACCTGATGCACGAAAACAGGTCGTCAAACCCGCACGCAAGCGGCCGGGCAGGGGGGGAAGGGGCATGGATGCTGAGAACCATCAATATGGAGTGTTAAAAAACAAACAAAAAAAGAGAAGCGCCACCAAAAACTGGAAGGTACCATACCACCAACCAAATAGTGAAGAGACGAAGAGTCACAAAGACCTTGTCCAAAGACCGAATGTAATGAGCCAGCCAGACCTACCTCTGCTGCGTGGGCAGCTAGGCCAGCCGAGACCTACCTGAGTAAGAAGCTCCCAGGCCCACGTGATGGCCTCCTGCTTGAAGTAGTCCCCGAAGGACCAGTTGCCGAGCATCTCAAAGGTGGTGTGATGGTACGTGTCCTTGCCCACGTCGTCCAGGTCGTTGTGCTTGCCGCCCCAAGTTGGGGGAGGGGGGCGAAGGGGGGCAAAGGAGGGGATTCCTAGAGCGGAAACAAGGCAAGGAAGACGCAAGTACCTGGGTAAGCAGCTCCCAGGCCCACGTGATGGCCTCCTGCTTGAAGTAGTCCCCGAAGGACCAGTTGCCGAGCATCTCAAAGAAGGTGTGGTGGTACGTGTCCTTGCCCACGTCGTCCAGGTCGTTGTGCTTGCCGCCCGCTCGGATGCACTTCTGCGAGTTCACGGCGCGCTTGAGCGACGCCAGGGGGCTGCGCGGGTCAACCGTTCCCAGGAAGATGGGCTTGAACTGGTTCATGCCTGGCGGGGGGAGGGGGGATGTGGGGTTGAGTGGTTGCCAGCGCAGATGCACTTCTGCGAGTTCACGGCGCGCTTGAGCGAGGCAAGGGGGCTGCGCGGGTCCACAGTGCCCAGAAAGATGGGCTTGAACTGGTTCATGCCTGGCGGGGGGAGGGGGGATGTGGGGTTGAGTGGTTGCCAGCGCAGATGCACTTCTGCGAGTTCACGGCGCGCTTGAGCGAGGCAAGGGGGCTGCGCGGGTCCACAGTGCCCAGAAAGATGGGCTTGAACTGGTTCATGCCTGGCGGGGGGAGGGGGGATGTGGGGTTGAGTGGTTGCCAGCGCGGATGCACTTCTGCGAGTTCACGGCGCGCTTGAGCGAGGCAAGGGGGCTGCGCGGGTCCACAGTGCCCAGAAAGATGGGCTTGAACTGGTTCATGCCTGGCGGGGGGAGGGGGGATGTGGGGTTGAGTGGTTGCCAGCGCGGATGCACTTCTGCGAGTTCACGGCGCGCTTGAGCGAGGCAAGGGGGCTGCGCGGGTCCACAGTGCCCAGAAAGATGGGCTTGAACTGGTTCATGCCTGGCGCGGGAGGGGGAGGGGGAGGGGGAGGGGGAGGGGGAGGGGGAGGGGGAGGGGGAGGGGGAGGGGGAGGAGGGGAGAGGGGGGGGAAGGTTGAGTGGTTGTGCTTGCCGGATGCACTTCTGCGAGTTCACCGCGCGCTTTAGGGACGCGAGGGGGCTGCGCGGGTCCAAAGTGCCCAGAAAGATGGACTTGAACTGGTTCATGCCTGGCGGGGTGGGAGGGGTGGGGAAGGTGGGGGGAGGGGAGAGGTTGAGTGGTTGTGCTTGCCGGATGCACTTCTGCGAGTTCACCGTGCGCTTCATTGGTGCCAGGGGGCTGCGCGGGTCCTCTGGTCCCAGGAAAATGGGCTTGAACTGGTTCATGCCTGGCGGGGGAGGGTGGGAAAGGGAAAGGAACAGAGGGAGCGAGGGGGAGGTGGAGTAACGGACGGGATCAAAGAGATGAGCGACAATAAAAACACGAGATACTTAGATCAATTGAGTTTTAACCAGCGCGGACGTTGTGATTGGAACAAGTGTGCATCAACTCGAACGGAACCCGAAGGCCAAACGAAGTGATTCTGACGACGTTTCCGCACGACAAGACGGAGAACGATGCGGCATGCATCCCGACATGCCAGGCGCGCACACAGCCGCCGACTTGGTCCACCTGACGTTCAAAGTTGGTCCTTGTCTTGTCTTGTCAGTCGACTCTGAAGTCAAAGTTGCCAAACGCCACGAGTACACAGCCGTCGATTTGGTGAATCGGACCATCGCGAAAAGCGTGACACGTGTACGGGATGATTGAATAATAAGTGCACGGGGTTTGAGTCGCCTCAAGAATCTGACCATGTTGAACATGAGAGACCCATGTGAGTGTACGATCCTTGAGCATTTGAGATCCCACAGTCGGTGCATGACATCCCTCGGCGCATCTAACGCTAAGAAACCCGCTTTTGTACTTCCACACCGCAGTACGCCTACATCGAGATCGCTAGCAATCTCTATAATGAGGACGACTGACGCTGGCAGCGCAGCGTACAGCCAGATCCAGGTGACTTTGTGAAATCGAATCCAATGACAGCGAGGGACGCTCCTGTATAGCGAGTACACTACTGACGATTCTCTACAGCGAGAGCAACGACTTGCGAAGGCGGAGGTCCGGCAGGCACTGACCGTGGTTCCTGTACGACGAGAATACTAACTGTCGTTGTTGCAGCTTAAGCGCACTGACCGGCGTTGGCGAACAGCAGCGTGGGGTCGTCCAGCGGGACGACGAGGCTGGACGGCACGTGCGCGTGCTCGCGATCCTTGAAGAACTGCAGAAACGTGTCGCGCACGCGCATCGCCGGCCATTCCAGCTCCGTTCCTGCTCACGAATCGCACATTCAACAGGAGATCAATCTCAGGCCTGTAGGGTATTACTACAGATTAGAAGAAAAAAAAAGGAAGGCTCGTTACACTATCTACCTGATGCTGATCCGCCCGACATTGCGGCTCGGAGTGGCAGAATAGGTCTGCACGCAGATCGGAGGAGCAGCTAACTCAGGAAGCTGAACGCGTGTGGAATAAGCCAGACCTGCTTTGTGACTTGGGAGTGGCTAGATAAGGGAGCACGTGGCTAGATCTTCTGGCGGCGATTATCTCGAGGTATTCTGAAGGAGCTTAAGTCAAGGGGGATAGAGTGTATTTGCGACTTGGTTAGGGTTAAAAATGCCGTATATCTCAGTTTCATAAACTACCTCGGTTTTTCTCCGGAAAGGTGCTTCGATAGTGTTTGGAGAAGGGGGTGGTGAACACATGTAATGGTGCTTGGATGGTGTTTCTACTTTCGCTTATTGCAACGGTTACCAAATGGCAGACCTCGCGTTGATGTCAACGGCTAGGGCCTAGTGGAAGTTCGTTCCAGTCTAATTTCCCGAGCTTCCAACCGAGACGAATACCCAAGTTCGCATTTTCTCCCGACCAAACTGCCCCAATTTCAGGTCCTCAAAACCGCTTCCTCTCTCGCACTCCCACCTAAGTATGACACGGGCGCCGAAACCATCCCCATGTTCAGCCTTGTGACTGTGAACCGCGTATCGGAACTACGGGTCACTGGTGATTGGTTGGTGTAGGACGGTCAGGTCAGTGAAACTGTATGTATTCACTCAATCGCATTCACCTACACAGTGACATGTTTTGGTTGTCAACCGCTATCGGGAAATGATCAAAAAGGGGCCCCGGAGAAGCAATAAAGTGGCCGAATTGGGGCCTCGTGATTCGCGCCCCTACTACGTACCCCCGAAGCAACCAGCACACCTGGTCAGTTAGGCCGAGCCTGGCCTTCTCGCCAGGTCACCACCTACTGGCCTGGGGTTGACGGAATTCGCTAGTGACTCGTCATCGTAGATTACCCAGAAAAACAATCATTTTAACCCAAAAACAACAACAACGCAATGGCACAAAAAATAAACCCCATTCGGATGGCATATGATTGGGGAAGCATCAACCCTAAATACCGTGCGGCAAGATGTTTAGGGCTAAGGCCCCTTCGAAGGCGTGAGAGGAAAATTCGTCAATTTTTAGATGTCGAGTCAATTTTTTCGTTCGTGAAGGAGGAATTCGTCACCTTGTGTGGTCAGGTCTGACGGAGCGCGTGGATGAGGCTAGAAATTGGTTGGGCACAGGTCCGGCCTAGGCTCGACTCCTTGCGACACACGAGGCCCCAAGTCGGCGACTTTTCTAGAGCTCTGGGGCCCCAATCTGATAATTTCCCACTGCTATCCAATGACGAAGATTGTCTCGCCGTCAACTTGCTTATCTTGGACTGACAGGCTCCCTGGTGGTAACCTCCCTCCACAGTCAAGCTCATCGGTGCTTTGGATTCTGCCGAGCCTTCTGCCTTGGTTTGGGGTTTTTCGGCCCGGCCCGGACAAACCAACACCTATGGCAGGCAGATGAAGTTGGTTGGCCAAGCCAAGAGCGAAGCAGGATAATCTCAAGGCAACTACCTCGAGTTGCATTTATAGGACCTAGAGGTTGCCTGGATTAACCTCAGGCTGCCTTATCTCCTCCAAACTCCTCACCGTTGCTCAAGGTCGGCCGCGGCTGACATGGATACGACATGAGCCTTCCTCATCACACCTGCCTTTTTATATGAGAATTGTGACGGTATGATGCGGCCGATGCTGTCCTATGTCCCATACGAGACTGATAGCAAGCAAGTGTAACTGTCTGATGATCGTGCAGGCTTCCTTCACCAGTAAGTTCCGCAAGATATGGCCTTAAGTATCCATTCTGGGCCCAACTTTATACGAAATTCGAAGCGTTAAGAGTCGCGGCATTGGAGTGAAATGCAGCCGCAGCAGGAGCAGATGCAGGCGGGACCGCAGCGGATGCAGCATTCCCAGCCGAACAAGCAGCCGATTTTCATGCAAAGGCAACCCCCGTCGCCTCAACGCCAACAGCAGCAACAGCAGCCGGAGAGTCTGCAACCTGCATCCATGCGGCAGCGGTCGCAGAATGGTCCCAATCAGGAGGTCATGACTTCAGGCCGACCTCTGGTTGGCGGTAGAGGCGGTCGAAATCAGACTCCTGGGTACGCGTACGATCGGTCGAGTCGGTACTGCGTCGTTGATTTTCAAGTTGAACAAAGAAAATGCCGGAATCAGTCACCTGGGTCGGTAATGGCGTTATGAGCTGAGTCGGTAATGGGTAGTTACGCGCGCTGATTAAGCTCATTCTAGTCGGCACGCGTATGACGAGCTATGTCGGCACTAAAGAGTACCGGCACGATGAGCAAAGTCGGTGCTGCATACGCGTGTAATCTGTATCGGCACGCGTATGAGCTGATTTGGTTCTTTGTCGTGTAGAGGCACGCGCCGAAACACGCGGGAAGGGTCAAGAAGCAGCCGTGATTTTTTTAACACCGTTTAGCTTCCCTCCGTTCTCTCCGCCTTCCGCTTACGCCTTCTCCTCTTGCTAACTTTCCCCTTTTCTCCCCTCTTCCTCCATTCTCCTCCCTCTCCTTTCTTCGCGCACCTTGCCCACCAACCACTTGTTTTGAGGTGCATCAGGCACATCGTCCCCCGTGTCAATTCTCGCCTTCCCGCCTCCGCTCAATTGCCGCTATTCCCTATCCCCCCCTCTCCCGTGTCGATTCTCTCCTTCCCGCCTTCGCTCAATTGCCCCTTTTCCCTTAAACCCGCTCTTCCCCCAGCAGCGCAGAGCCAGGCGCAAGCGCCCCCCCGCTCAACAAGATGCGGAGAACCCACAGCGAGAAGCAGAGCAGCGCGGGGATCGCACGGGCGGGGGGAAGCGGAAGCAGCTCGGGTAGCGCGGCGGAAGAAGCCCCGCCTTGGGCGCGGGGAGTGCCCAGCGGACCCGCAAGTGGCGCAGGCGGAACTTGGGGAAACGCAGGGGGGGCAATGGGCGGAGTGGGCAGTCCTGGGCGCGGCGGCGGTGCGCCCGCGCTTGTGTCAAGTCCGCATTACCTGCAGCAACCGCCGCCGCTGCACCCGCGGTCTGTATCAGACGAGGACAGGGACAGGATTTCCGCCATGAATCCCCCTGCGGGCGCAGTTGCTGCGCGAATGGCTGCCGCGAGTAGGCTGGCGCAGGCGCAAGCGCAGGCGCAGGCGCAGAGGGGGAACGCGGAACGCGGGTCCGCGGAACGGGAGGACGGATCCTCGTCTGATGGGGGGGGGACTGGGCGGGGGGTGACTAGCGCGGGATACCGACCCATGCCGCAGTTTCAGCAGCAGAACAAGGGCGTGTTCAAGGCGGAACGGAGGCGGAGCTTGGATCTTTGCACAGAGAAGGTGGGCTCACCAGTTAAGGGGGGAATGCAGCGGATTGGGTCGGGGGAGGCGCTTGTTCCAGTTCAAAGGGCAGGGCCGCGGTTGCAGTCAGAAGGGGGGGGGATGGGAGCGGTGGAGGGAACGTGGGAGGCTGGCAGTGGCCAGCAGCAACAGGCTCATCAAGCCGTGCAGCTGCAAGGGCAGCAGCAACAGCAGCGCCAGCAGTCAGGGCAGCAGCAGCAGGGTCAGCAGCAGCAGCAGCAGCAGCAGCAGCAGCAGAGCATGCGGAGCAGCGCTGCTAGTTCGGGTGCTGGAGGTGCAGGAGCTGCTGGTTCGGGTAGTGCTGGTTCGGGTGCTGTTGGCGCAGGCGCAGGCGCTGCTGGTACTGGTGGTAGCGCGGGGGGAGGGGGAGCGGGAGGGGGAGCGGGAGGGGGATTGGGAGGCAGAGGAGGGAGGGGCGGTCGAGGTGGGAGGGGTGAGGTATTAGGGAGGGGGGTGGGGATGGGGGGAAGAGGGGGACGAGCGGGACCAGGCTCACGTGTAAGAGAAGGCGAAAGGGATAGCGTTGTTGCTGGTGCTGGTACGGGTGCTGGTGGTGGTGCTAGCGCTGGTGCTAGTGCTGGCGCTAGTGCTAGTGACAGAGGAGGGGCAGTGCAACAGCAGCAGGGTCCGCAGCAGCAGCAACAGCAGCAGCAGCAGCAGCAGCAGCAGCAGCAGCAGCAGCAGCAGCAGCAGCAGCAGGGTCAGCGCATGAGAAGGCTGTCAGCGTCGTCTATTGGCTCAGCTGCCAGTGATGCTAGCGGAGCCTCTGGCACTCGGGGCGCAGCAGTTGTAGCGGGATCTGTAACAGGAGTTGTAGCGGGATCTGTAACAGGAGTTGTAGCGGGATCTGTAACAGGAGTTGTAGCGGGATCTGTAACAGGAGTTGTAGCAGGAGCGGGGGAAGGGAGTGCAAGGGCGGATGGCGGAGAGGGAGGAGGCAGAAGTGGGGGAGGAGGTGGGGGAAGTGGGAGGGAAACCAGTGGAGGGGAAGGGGCAGCAGGGAACAAGCCACTCGTTGCTGCAACTGCGCCACACATAGAATCAGAGCCTGCTGGTAGTATTACTGTGACCGTCTTACGTGCCTCAGGTGCTCCAGGTGCCTCAGCAGGTGCTTCAGGTGCTGCTGCAGCTCGGCTAGACATAGACCTGTACAGCCCCCTCCCTGGCGGCAGTTTCAGCAGCTCCGGCGTTACCGCTCTTGCCACAACTGATGTTCTTAACGGGACTCACAGAAACGAGTCAGCTACTAACGGGGATGGCGAGCTAGACGCCACAGGGTTTGAAAGCGCGCCAAGATCGAAATCCCCCCAAAAAGGCAAGAAAGGGGCGAGGGGAGAAGGGAAGGTGCAGGGGAAAGGGAGGAGAGACGGAGGGGAGGGTTCAAGCGGAGGATCAGCAGATGCTCGTGATTCGAGTGCAGGGGAGGGGGGGCGAGGAGGGGGCGGGGGTGGAAAGGGAGGGAAGAGTGGGGGAAAGAAGAGCGGGAGGACCAAGTCAGGGTTCATGGCGGAGATGGTGACCCACAGGCGGGCAGCGTCACAGGGCCAGGGGAATGGCCTAGAGAAGGCGTCAGCCTCAGAGGCGGGCGGGGAGGCCAGCAAAGGGGATCGTGTGGTTGCTTTGCCTGGCAGCTCTAGGGACGCTTGTAATGCAGCTGACGCGCCTGATGCTTCTGATGCTGCGCCTGGTGGTGATGACGCCCTTACTCTCTACAGGTATGGTCTACCCCCCTCTTCTCTGCTGCTGCTGCTGCTGCGGCTGCTTTCGCTTTCCCCTCTCATCTCCCTCCCCATTCTCATCCCTTTTCCCACTCCCATCCCCACTCCCAGTGCTGGATCCTCGGCCATAGGCCGGCTGCAGCCGGGGGCATGTGAATGACCTAGAAGTTTGCATCCTTTTCCCTCCCTCGCCCTCTCCCCCCGCATCTCCCTCTCATCTCACCCCTCTCTCCTCAGATCGGGATCTTCGGCCATAGGTCAATTACAGCTGCTGGTGTCGCCAGCGGTCTTCTCGCGAGTCATCAGCTGCAACGCTGCTGCCGCTGCTGTGCTGAGATGCCCCAGCGAGGACATGCTGTGGGGCAACTCCCTCTGTGAATCAATCTGCCCAAGCCACGTGCCTAAATTAGAGGTGAGTACAAGGCGTGCCTTATTTCGCCCAAGTCCTACTACGAGTGTATGCCTCCCAGTGAAGACATGCTGTGGGGCAGCTCGCTCTGCGAGTCCCTCTCTGCCTGCACCACAGCTCACCCCAACCTGCTCCGCTCACACTTTCCCCCTCTCCCCACCCCCCTTCACCTTCACTCCTTCCCCTTTCCCGCTTCAACCTTCTTCCTCCGCCCGCCCCCGTTCTCCTTCCGCTCACCCCAGGCGTGGCTGCTGCTGGTGGCACAGATGGTGCACTCAGCAGCTCTCCACTCCCCCTCAACCTGCACTGTCACACCTCATCCCCCCTCACTCCTTCCCCCTCTCCTGCCCTCCTTTCCCCTTCCCGCCTTCCACCCTTCTCCCGTCCCCCTCCCCCTCACCCCAGGCGTGGCTGCTGCTGGTAGCGCAGATGATGCACTCAGCAGCGCTGCCGCCCCACCTGCACCAGAAGCCACCTCCCCCGCTACAGCTCACCCTCGCCAGCCATGCCGGCGCTGCCGTCTCTGTCCAGCTCGTGGCTGTGCCGCCCCTCACCCTCTCCCACTCCACCTCATCGTCTTCTTCTTCTGCTGCTGCTGCTGCTGCCGCTGGCGCTGCTGCTGCTGCTGCTGCTGCTGTGGGTGGTGGTGGTAGTGCTGCTTTAACTGTCCCACCGCCTGAACCTGGTGGGGATACTGTCACTCTACTAGTCCGCGACTGCCCCTCCTTACCTGCACCTTCTACCTCTGCTGCTGCTGCTGGGAAGCCAACTGTTGGTGGTACTGCATCTCTTGCTGGTGGTGCTACTGCCGACACTGCGGTTGCAGTGCAAAAGGGAGGAAGGAGGGCAAGTGGAGGGGGCAGCAGCGGGGCAGTGGGTCTCGCAGATCTCTATGCCGCTGCTGCTGCCACTGCCGGTGCAGCAGGCAGCGGCAAAAACCACCCCAATATAACCGACCTATACACCCTTTCTGGGCCTCCTCCTAATGCTCCTGCAGCAGCAGGGCCCCCCCTTCCCCCTGGTGCTGTGTCTCTGTCACAGTTAGGGGAGGAGGATTTACAGGTGCTCAAGGCCCTTGTGAGGAAGGAGGTGGAGGAACAGGTGGGGCGGGAGGCAAGGCAGCGGGCGGCGGAAGAGCTGCAGGAGGAGCTAAAGACAAAGCATGCTGCCCTCATGGCTTCGCTGACAAGGGAGATTGCGATGCCCCTGAATGGTAGGCTAGGGATGGTGAGGAAATGGGGGAAGGGGAGAGGAGAGAGGGAAGAGGGGAGAGGGAAGAAGGGAGAGGGAAGAGGGGAGGGGGAAAAGGTGGGAAGGGAAGAGGGGAATGGAGAGAAAAGAATGTCATTTCGTTAAAGTGCCTGAACCCTGTTTGCCCACAACTCCCTCTTGCCCCATTCTCCCCTTGCTCCCTTCTCCCCTTGCTCCCTTTTCCCCTTGCTCCCTCCTCCCTTTGCTCCCTTCTCCCCTTGTTTCCTTCTTCCCCTTGCCTTTTTCACTCCCTTGCCCCCTTCTCCCCTTGCCCCTTTCACTCCCTTGCCCCTTTCTCCCCCTTTCCCCTTTCTCCCCCTTGTCCCCAACCCTCCGCCTTCCACCTTTCCGCCCCCCATCCCTCTCCCCCCTCCCAATCCCCACACCTCTCTCCCTTCCCCCTCCCAGCCATGGCAAGTGTGGCAGACTTTCTTCTCAACTCTCGCGCGCTAACACCTGACCAGAGGTTCCTCGTGCAACTCCTCCTTTCCTCTGCCGAAAGCCTCTAACATACCGTCCGCCTTTCCCCTTCCCTCTCCCCCTTTCCCTCTCCCGCTTCCCCTCTCCCCCTCTCAGCCATGGCAAGTGTGACTTTCTTCTCAACTCCCGCGTGCTAACACCTGACCAAAGGTCCCTAGTGTAACTCCTTTTGAGTCGACTCAAAAATCATCCCCACACCTCCCTCCCTTCCCCCTCTCCCCCACCAGCCATGGCTAGTGTGGCAGACTTTCTTCTCAACTCTCGCGCGCTAACACCTGACCAACGGTCCCTCGTCCAGCTCCTCCTCTCCTCCGCCGAAAGCCTCTCCCAAACCCCTCTGCTGATGCCCCTTCCGTCCTCTCCCCTTCCGTCCCCCTTTCCATGCTCCCCATTCCCCCTTCCCCCCCGTCCCTTCCTCCAATCCCCTTCCACCTTTCCCCCTACCCTCCTCCCCATCTCCCTCTCCCCCTAACCCCCCTCCCAGCCATGGCTAGTGTGTCAGACTTTCTTCTCAACTCTCGTGCGCTAACACCTGACCAGAGGTCCCTCGTACAGCTCCTCCTCTCCTCTGCTGAAAGCCTCTCCCAAACCCTCGCCCGCCTTCTCAAGTCCCCCGAGGCTGACCCCGAGGCTGTTCCCGAATCTGACGACGAGGATGACGAGCCTCCGAGGCTGGAGCTTCGGGAAACGGACCTGCACCGAGAGGTATGGCTTGGGGAGGAGGGAAAGAAGAGGAGAATGGGGAGAGGGAAGGGTGGGCGGAGGAGAGTGTGAGAGAGCATGAGGAGAGGGTTGGAAAGGCAGAGGAGAGAGGGTGGGATGGGTAGGTGGGGGAAAGAGGATAAATGGTGTGAGATGGGGTTTTCACGCAAAGTTTTTTTTTAGTGTTTCACTCCTGTCGAAGCCCCTCCCTTTTCCCTCGCCTTCAAGTTAGGGAGTGCGTGAGACTGATGGGACGTGCATGCTAAGGAGAAGGGCCTCGCGCTTCTTTGTGGCATCTCCACCAACCTTTCCCTTTCTGACTATCTTTTCCCTCTCTCCCCCTCGTGTTTACCTTTTCAGGTTAGGGAGTGCGTGCAGCTGATGGGCGTGCATGCCAAGGAGAAGAGCCTGGCGCTGCTGTGCTGCATCGACTCCGCCGTGCCGCAGTTCATCCTCTCTGACGGCCCTGCCACCTCTCACCCCTCCTCTTACTCTCTCTCTCTCTCTCTCTCTCTCTCTCTCTCTCTCTCTCTCTCTCTCTCTCTCTCTCTCTCTCTCTCTCTCTCATTCTCCCCTTCCCTCAGGCTGGCCTTCCTGTGTGCCATCGACTCACATGCTTCCCGTGTCTCTCCCTCCTATGCGCCCTCCTCTCCCTTCCCTCGCCCATCAGGTGCGCGAGTGTGTGAGGCTGATGGACGTGCACGCCAAGGAGAAGGGCCTCGCCCTGCTGTGTGGAATCGACTCCGCCGCGCCGCAGTTCATCCTCTCTGATGGCCCCGCCATCCTTTTGAGGCGCCTCAAACCAGTCCCCTCCGATGCCTCTTTACCCCTCTCTCTCCCTCAAACTCTCCCTCTCCCTCGCCTTCTCCCACTCCCACTCCCTTCCCCTCCTGCGTGCCTTTTCAGGTTAGGGAGTGTGTGAGGCTGATGGACGTGCACGCCAAGGAGAAGGGCCTGGCCCTGCTGTGTGGAATCGACTCCGCCGTGCCGCAGTTCATCCTCTCTGATGGCCCCGCCATCCGCCAAGTGCTGCACAACCTCATCTTCAACGCCGTACAGCACACCGACAGGTGGGTAGTTGTGATTGTGCTGCTGCTTGTGGTTCTCCTGGTACTGAAAGTTCATGCCTGGTAAGGTGCCTCAATAAGCTCCGCAGTTCATCCTCTCTGACGGCCCTGCCATCCGCCAAGTGCTGCACAACCTCATCTTCAACGCCGTGCAGCACACCGATAGGTGGGTGGGTAATTGTGGTGCTGCTTGCAGTGCTCCTGGTACTGACTGACAGCTCATGACTGGTGAGGTGCCTCAATAGGTGGTGCAGTTCATCCTCTCTGACGGCCCTGCCATCCGCCAAGTGCTCCACAACCTCATATTTAATGCCGTGCAGCACACCGATAGGTGGGTGGTTGGTACTGTCCGCGACATGGTAGTGGAAGCATCGGCGCAAGGTCACCGCTTCCCTTTATAACTCCCTCTCCCTTCCCCCCTCGTGTTTTCACTGCTCTGCCTGGATGCTTTCTTTCTTCCCCAGGGGCGACGTGACAGTGTCAGTGCGACTGGCATCAGACAAGGAAGCAGAGGAGCATCGTGTGAAGCAACGCCGCAAGGACAGCGCTGCTGTAGCCACCTTCTTGGAGAGACGCAGCAGCAGCACTCGCAGGGGAGGCGTGGGGATAGGGGGAGGGGGTGGAGCGGGAGACGATGGTGCGGGGCGGGACGGCGAGGCAGGGTCGGTGCTGCTGCGGTTTGAGGTGCGGGACACGGGCAACGGGATTAATGCGGAGCTGCTGGCTGCTCTTGTTCAAGAGCTGGAAAAGGTAGGTGCTTGGAGTAGGGGGAGTGGGATATGACAGGGTGGGAGGGCGAGGCAGGGTCGGTGCTGCTGCGGTTTGAGGTGTGGGACACAGGCAATGGGATCAATGCAGAGCTACTAGCTGCTCTTGTCCAAGAGCTGGAGAAGGTGGGTTCGGGGGGAGGTTGCTTTCAGAACGAGTTGGCTGTTTAGTAGGGCTGGTTCTGAAGCTCTGAGCTGCTGGCTGCTCTCGTGCAAAAGCTGGAAAAATTGGATGCTGGCTCTCGCTGCTGCTGCTGCTGCTGCTGCTGCTGCCGCAGCTGCTGCTGCGTTGTTTTCTTTAGTCTCACGGGTTCCGTTTCTCCCTCCTTCCCCCACCCACACCCACTGCAATTTCCACAGAGCAAGCCATCCCCCTCGTCCCTGGCGTCCTTCCTCCTGGGTCGTCCCTTCGCCACCACAGGCCTCGGCACAGTGCACGCCCTCATCTCCCACGCCCTCATCCCCCCCCTTTCCCCTTCCCTCCTTCCAGAGCAAGCCATCCCCGTCCTCCCTGGCGTCCTTCCTCCTGGGTCGCCCCTTCGCCACCACAGGCCTCGGCACAGTCCACGCCCTCATCTCCCACGCCCTCATCCCCGCCCCCGGCACCGCCGCCGCCGCCGCACTCGCAGCCATCGCCCCTTCAATCGCAGGGGGGGCAGCCGGGGGAGGGGGAGGCGGGGTAGGAGCTGGCGGGGGAGCAGGAGGAGGGCTGGGGACGTTTAGCAGGTCGAGTAGTTATTCGAGTGCGGCGGGGGTGGGGGTGGTGGGCGGGTGGGGAGCAGGGGCAGTGCAGTTGCAGAGTGAGGTGGGGAGGGGCACGTCTGTGGTGTGTTTCCTGCCGGTGCCGCTCGCCTCGTGCCAGGATATCACTCCTGAGGACCTGAATCCGCACCAGCCTCTTGATATGGACGTGTGGACGGAGCTCCCCAACGCACGCATTCTCATTGTCGATGTGAGTGTGTTCATGCGAGTGATTGTGTGTGTCTGTCTCTCTCTGGGGCTGGTTGTCTTCGGTGCCGCTAGCTTCGTGCCAGGATAGCACTCCAGAGGACCTGAATCCGAACCAACCGTTGGATATGGATGTGTGGACAGAGCTTCCGAACGCACGCATACTCATTGTCGATGTGAGTTTCACCTTTTACCTCACCGCACTGCAGCACCCCACACCACACCACCACCCCTTCTCTTCCCCCCTTTCCCCCCCACCCAGGCCAACGACATGCATCGCCAGATGGCGCTGTCCATGCTGCGCTCCACGGGGGTGTCACGCTCTTGTCTCCTGCCTACATATCGCCCCTCTCTCCTCCTCTCCCCCTTCTCCCCTCCACCCCTAACCCTCCCCCACCCAGGCAAACGACATGCACCGCCAGATGGCGCTGTCCATGCTTCGCTCCACAGGGGTCTCCTTCGACGTTGCCAGCTCCTCACAGGAAGCGCTCTCGCTCTTTGAGCGCCGCCCCTTCGACCTTGTGCTGCTGGTGAGTCGCCTCCCACCTCGTGCTGCTGGTGAGATGCCGGTTGACTGTTGGTGTGCTGGTCTGCTGGTACGCATGGTCGGTACCACTTACCTCCGTTGACGTCGCCAGCTCCTCACAGGAAGCGCTCTCGCTCTTTGAGCGCCGCCCCTTCGACCTTGTGCTGCTGGTGAGTCGCCTCCCACCTCGTGCTGCTGGTGAGATGCCGGTTGACTGTTGGTGTGCTGGTCTGCTGGTACGCATGGTCGGTACCACTTACCTCCGTTGACGTCGCCAGCTCCTCACAGGAAGCGCTCTCGCTCTTTGAGCGCCGCCCCTTCGACCTTGTGCTGCTGGTGAGTTGCCTTCCACCTCGTGCTGCTGGTGAGATGCCGGTTGACTGTTGGTGTGCTGGTCTGCTGGTACGCATGGTCGGTACCACTTACCTCCGTTGACGTCGCCAGCTCCTCACAGGAAGCGCTCTCGCTCTTTGAGCGCCGCCCCTTCGACCTCGTGCTGCTGGTGGGTCGCTGTCCCTCCTTGTCCTGCTCGTGAGATGCCTTTGACTGTTGATCCGTTGGTCCCGAGACAGCTCCTCATCTCCCTCATCTCCCTCATCTCCCCCATCTCGCCCATGTTCTCGCCCCCTCAGGATTGCTACTTGAACGGCCCTGTTGATGGCTTCGCCACAGCCACTCTCCTGCGCCAACTAGAGGTTGACATCGCCCTGAAGAAACACCTCCACTTACTACCCATCTCTTCCGTTCTTTCCCCCCCTTCCCCCTCCTTCCTCTCAGGACTGCTACCTGAACGGCCCTGTGGACGGGTTCGCCACAGCCATGCTCCTCCGGCAGCTAGAGGTTGACATCGCCCTGAAAAAACACCTCCACTTACTACCCATCTCTTCCGTTCTTTCCCCCCCTTCCCCCTCCTTCCTCTCAGGACTGCTACCTGAACGGCCCTGTGGACGGGTTCGCCACAGCCACGCTCCTCCGGCAGCTAGAGGTCGACATCGCCCTGAAGAAACACCTCCGCAGGAGCAGCAGCAACCGAAGCAACAGCAGCAGAAGCCCCTCCGCTGCCGCCGCGGCTGCAGCTGCTGCAGCAGCAGCAGAGGGCCCAGGAACGGTGGTGGCGCGGGCGTGCATTGTGGCGCTGACTCCGGGGACAGGGAACGATGAGGAGGAGGAGGAGCGGTGCACGGCTGCTGGCATGGACTATTTCATTCCCAAGCCGCTCCGACTGAGGGACCTCCACATGGTCATCAGGTGAGGACTGACTGACTTCGGCGTACGCATACTGATCAGGTGAGTTGTGGGACGTTCATAGGGCATCAGGTGAGAGAGGGTGGGGGTGGGGAAGTGTAGGGAGTGGGAAAGAGGGCGGGGAACGGTGGTGGCGCGGGCGTGCATTGTGGCGTTGACTCCGGGGACGGGGAAGGATGAGGAGGAGGAGGAGCGGTGCACAGCTGCTGGCATGGACTATTTCATTCCCAAGCCGCTCCGACTGAGGGACCTCCACATGGTCATCAGGTGAGGACTGACTGACTTCGGCGTACGCATACTGATCAGGTGAGTTGTGGGACGTTCATAGGGCATCAGGTGAGAGAGGGTGGGGGTGGGGAAGCGTAGGGAGTGGGAAAGAGGGCGGGGAACGGTGGTGGCGCGGGCGTGCATTGTGGCGTTGACTCCGGGGACGGGGAACGATGAGGAGGAGGAGGAGCGGTGCACAGCTGCTGGCATGGACTATTTCATTCCCAAGCCGCTCCGACTGAGGGACCTCCACATGGTCATCAGGTGAGGTCCGAAACGTCTGAACATCTTTTTATTCCGAGGAGCCTCACACGCCGCTCCAGATGAAAGACCTGCACCTGGTGATTGGGTGAGTGAGTTTTGACACACTTACATGTGTTGCAGGGTGGAAGCAGCACCATCCACTGACGGTTCAGGCCAGCATGCCTCTTCAAGCCTTGCATCATTCCCTTTCCCTTCAACCTCCTACAAAAACAACCCTAAACCCAACCCATCCCTAACCCCCCATCACCACCCTCCCAGGCATCGTCTGGAGGTGCTGGCGCCCTACGTGCTCCCAGAGCATGCGGCCTCCCTCGTGCTCCTGGAAGCACTGATTGCTTACACCACCATGCCTCTTCAATCCTAACCCGACTCAACCCATCCCAACTCCACCGTTGCAGGCATCGTCTGGAGGTGCTGGCGCCCTACGTGCTCCCAGGTCACGCAGCCTCCCTGGTGCTCCTGGAAGCAGCCCCGTCCTCTGACGAATCTGATGATGAGGATGATGACGATGATGATCATGCTGATAACGAGTATGGCAAAAACGAGGACAGCAGCACTGCCAGCAACTTGCAGGCGTGGATGCAGGGCCTGGCGCAAGGCGGCTCGACAGTGGTTCTCAACCAGCCTCCCTTCCACCACCTGGGAAACCACCGGGGCAGTGCGGCACCTGAAGCGGCACCTGACCGGGCACCTGGGTTTTCACCTGGAGCAGCGGCAGCAGCAGCAGTGTCAGCGGCGGCGGCAGCAGGGGATTTCGAGGCGCAAAGGCTGCTGATGGCGAGTGCGATGCAGTCTCTACCCCCTGAACTTGCTGGGGCTCTGCAAGGCTGTGACCCCGCTGCTCTGGCGAATGCATTGCAGGCTGTAGCTGCTGCTACCGCTGCTACGTCTGACCCAATGCATCAGCAGCAGCAGGAAGTGTGGCAAGAGCAGCAGGAGCAGCAGGAGCAGCAGCAGCGGGAGCTGTGGCAGCAGTTTGGCTTGTCTCAACAGGCGTTCTCATCTGCTGCTGCTGCTGCTGCTGGCATGGGCGGTGCTGCAGCTGGGGCGGAGGAGGAGAGTGAGGATGAAGGGGGGAGTGTGGTTGAGATGGATGATGAGGAGGAGGAAGAGCTAGCAGGGAGTGATAGTGATGGGTCGGTGGTGCAAGTGAGGGATCCCAAAAAGCTCAGTGCTAAGAGGTCAGATATAGCAGAGCTTCTAGTGGAGTTGGGGCAGAGGGAGGAGGAGAGCAGGAGAGCTCTTGGGAATGCGGACGGCGGGGGCAATAGCGGAGACGGTAGCAGGGATGGCAATAACAAGGATAGAAATAACAGGGGCGATGGGAACGGCGGTACTGGTGGTGATCGTGGTGGTGCCGGTGGTGGCGGTGGTGGTGGTGATGGTGCTGATGATAGTGATGGTGAGAGTGACAGCGAGTCAGGGTCTGTAGTAGAATTCGATCCGAATGAGGCTCGTGATTTGAGGAAGCTAAGTTCCAAGCGGTCAGACATAGCAGGGGTTCTCTGGGAGCTGGGGAGGCGAGAGGAGGAGATAGAGGAGGAGGAGGAGACAGGAGGGGGGCTGGCCGGAAGTGGGAGAGGAAGGGGGGGAGGAGGCATGGGAGGGGCGGAGCAGCAGGGAGGGGAGATGCGGGGAATGACTATGCAGGAGATTTGGGCGCAGGTGTCGGCTCGGGAGCGATTGGAAGGCACGCGCGGGGGCGATGAGGGGTGCAGTGATGAAGAGGGTGGGGACAGGGGCGAGAGTGCGGGGGCGAGGGGAGGGGTGGGGGAGAGGGCAGGGGCGGGGAAGGGGGCTATGGGTCATGATGAGAGTGAGGAAGAGGAGGACGAGGATGAGGATGAGGACGAGGAGGAGGAAGCGGCAAGGCAAGCCATGTTCGGAATGGCAAAATCCAAAACGTACACCTCCCGCCAGTACCAGCAGCAGCTGCTAGAGGAGGAGCAGCAGGAGCGGCAGCAGAGAGGAGGGGGGCAGCAGCAGGGGCGCGGGCACTTAGAGTCAAGATCCCGCTCCCTGGGGCACGGATTGTCGGCAGCAGCAGTGGCGGCGGCGATGCGACCGAGCAGAACAGCAGTAACTGAGGCTCCCACCATGGTGCCTGGGGCTACCAGGGCTGGTGGGCGTACTGTGGGGGAAGGGGGCCCTCCTCAGATGTCTTATCCCATCCCTGCGGAGTTTACTTCGCCGTTCCTTCTTCCCCAGAACTTCACCACGCCGCAGGTGTTAGCGCAACAGGGGATGGGCCGGGGAGGGATGGGAGGGATGGGGGGAGGGATGGGAGGGATTGGGGCATCGGGTGGTGGTGTGTCGGCACAGTCAGCAGCAGCAACGGCTTTAATTGCCTCTTTACTCTCCCCTCGTAACACCAACAGTGTGGGTGCCAGTGGGTTTGGAGGGGGTACCAGTGGGTTTGGAGGGGGTACCAGTGGGTTTGGAGGGGGTATGCCCGCTCCCCTCTCCCCCCGCATGCAAGCCTTTCAGGCTGCCCAGTTTGGGCTGTTCGGGCAGTTCGGGCAGATGGGTTTCTCCCAAGGTGCCCCAGCAGGTTCTGAAGCTGCAGCAGCAGCTTCCCTGGCAGCCACATGGCCCAAAGCCAATGGCGGCCCAGGTCTGCCCGGATCTCAAAGCTTGGCCGAGCCCGAGCCTGGCCGCCAGGGTCGGCGGTACGAGCGGCTGAGAGGAAGCAGCTCGGAAGAATCACTCGAGCAGGGGAGTGGGAAGAGAGGAGGGAAAAGGGGGGGTGGTGCTGCTGCTGATGATGATGATGACGATGGGGAGAGTGATGATGATGGGGAGGAGGAAGAGGAGGATGATGAGGATGAGGAGCCGACTTTGGTACGTACCTTCACAGTGAAAGCATCTGGGGACCAGATCAGGAGTCTGCTCAGGAGTAAAACGTCTGAGAGGGGAACGAGGGCAGCGGGAGGTGCGGGAGGAGGCTTGGATGGGGACAGCGACGAGGAGGATCTCCGAGCCTTGGTCCGAAGCAAGACGGCAGGTGCGGGGAAGGGGATGCATGCGGAAGAGGTGGTGTCGCTTTCAGCCCTGCAGGAGTTTCAGGGGCGAATGAGCAGCAGAGGAACTGCCGCTGGCGGTGCTGCTGGTGCCGCTGGTGGTGCTGGTGGTGGTGGTGGGATGGGTGGGAACCAGGAGAAGCAGGCAGCAGGAGGCGGGGCAAAGGCGTGGAAGAAGGATTGGGAAGCGGAGTTTCTAGCGAGTGTGGGGCTGACTAAAGTGGGAGGCGTGGTGCAGCCACAGCTAGGAGGACGTGGGGGTGGTGGGGTTGACATGGGGAGGGGGGGTCAGGGAAGGGAAGGGAATATGGACCGTTTTGAGCATTTGAAAGGAGGGTTCTAAATATGATCTGATGCATGGGGTGTGTTCACAGTATCTTTGGTCGATAATTTGGTGTGCAGTCACGGTAAGAAATATGGTACAGTACCACATTGTGGTGTGATGTGAACACGAAGGTTGGATTATCAAATCTCTTCGTCGTGGCGTAACGTGACCCCACATGGAATGTGAATAACTGGCCCTGCATATTGATGACCACCTAATACCTAGGTTTTGTGCAAACAGAAAACGGTAGGGTAGAGTAGGGATTCAACGTAATGTGGTAAGTACTTGAGAATGCGTGTAGAGTTTCTTCACTCACGCACTGAACTTCAGAAGCACCGTATCTGTGTAAGTGCAGTACGTGAATTCGCTATAAGGGATCAGCTAGTACGCGGATATCCGGTAGTTGGTGAAATCTGAGTTTGTTACGTCAGGCCTACTCTATGTCATATCTGGTGGTTTTTTCCTGGGGAAGGTAGATATTCGCCTGATGACGCACTGACCAATACCCAAATGCTGCTGCTGATCCTTCTAAGAATTCTCCACCAGTCAATGGGGTAATCTCGTGTGGTAACACGGAACGGAACGTAAGGGCCGTGAATGTGAGAGGCTTAGCTGTCGCTTTGTCTCGTACGTCGAGCGTTAGGTAACTGGTCGCATTGCTCTTAGAGCTTGTGCTTGCTGAGCTTTCTTTACCGTTTGCCACTCGTGTCACTATATTATCAATATTGTAACAAGGTGTTTTCACCCGTTTCCGACCATATTTACGCCGCGTTCAAGTACGCTGGAATTGAACGTTGCCGTTAAATAAGTCGCGGTTGCTCGTCCCTCGTCTCCAGCTCAAGCGAAGCGCATTTTCTCATCACCAGCTTACTTAGGATTCTGCTGACCTTTGCACGGGACAAGACCTAGTCATTCCACGGTTTCTCAAATCGTGACCATTCGTTCGAGCGGCAATGGACGCTGGCGGGTCGTCGCAGGGTCGCAATCGTCGCTCGGCGATGCTCCCGGTGGTGTTCGCCCTCGGGATTGTCGCATTGTCGTCGGCGCTCCTGTATCTGCAGGAAGCCGGCTCGCTGGGGAGGGGAGGAGGCCAGGGCAGCAACGCCGCTTGCGCCGTGTGGGATGACAAGGTGAGGAAAAAAAATACAAAAACAAACAAACAAACAAACAAGCAAATAACTTCTATCATTCTGTGCTATAGTGCGCACCAGGGATTCTAATGGTCAGCTTCTGTTCCAATCCTCGGATCAACATTATCCGCTGCTACATCCTTCTTGGAATCTGATTCTACCGCTCTCTTCCACTCGCTGTGTCATGCACCTTCCTGCTCGTTTTCCGCCCATGAAAGCTATTTTTCATCCTCCCATCCATGCATCCATGCATCCATCCGTCCGTCCGTCCGTCCATCCATCCATCCATCCATCCATCCATCCATCCATCCATCCATCCATCCATCCATCCATCCATCCATCCATCCATCCATCCATCCATCCATCCATCCATGATCCATGCACGCATACATGGATGCAGGTAGTGCCTCTAGATGAGCAAATGGCGCATCTAGACCAACAGGTAACTCTACTTGTCACAATCCCCGGATTACTGGAAATTTCCTGCCCGCCTTCCTGCTTGCGTTCCAGCACTCCAACTGTCAATCTTCATTCCATTCCAATTCTGCTCTGCTCACTTTCTCAGTTTATGACTCTATTATTCCGGGCTATTAACACCCCATGCCTGGAATTCCCAATGCTCTCGCCCCCTCCCCCCCCCTCCCCTTCCCAACGCCCTATCTCCCATGCGCCTCCGTTTCACCCACTGCCTGCCCCTCACCATGCCTCTCCCCCTCTTCACCCGCTGCTGCGGAGTTCTGCTTCAGCTGGCTGCCCTCACAGAGAGCATCAGGGTGAGTTGGGTTTCGAGAATCCTCATAGCGCATGCTTCATAAGCTCACATTCAGCTGAACATTTCAGGCATGCCGCTGTGCTCGCCTGTGCACTCGCCTGTGCTCATCTTCCTCCTGGCCGCCTCTTCTGCTCCCGCCTCTCATACTCCCGTTCCGTCCCCCTCGCCCCTGCCTACCTCTCCCTCCACACTGTCTCTCCCTTTCTCTCCTGCGTCTCACTCACCCCTACCTTCCTCCCTCCCCCCTGTCCTGTCCCCCTCCCTCTTGGCCCCCTCGCCCTCGCGCCTCCCTCACTCACCCCCACCAGGCTCACCAGCAGGCGTTGCTGGATAGGGAGCAGGTACCGTCAGCTGCCACAGATGCTGACGGGGCTGGTGCTGGCGCTGACGTGGCGTTTGGCGATGCTGACCTGGCACGGCCGGCACGGCGAGTGGCTCTTGACCTGGTTGAGATCATCGGCAAGACGCACCTGGTAGGTTCGGGGATGGATCTAGTAGGCCCGGGGATGGATCTGGTAAGTTTGGGGATGGTTCTAGTAGGTTCGGGGGTGCAACTGGTCTGGTAGGTATGGGGAACTTGTAGAATGGTTAAAAACTTGTAGAGCCCATGAGCTTGTAGAGCCCATGAGCTTGTAGTGCCCATGACATGAGCTTGTAGAGCCCATGAGCTTGTAGAGCCCATGACATGAGCTTGTAGAGCCCATGAGCTTGTAGAGCCCATGACATGAGCTTGTAGAGCCCATGAGCTTGTAGAGCCCATGAGCTTGTAGAGCCCATCCCATGAGCTTGTAGAGCCCATGAGCTTGTAGAGCCCATGACATGAGCTTGTAGAGCCCATGAGCTTGTAGAGCCCATGAGCTTGTAGAGCCCATGAGCTTGTAGAGCCCCTGGCAATGCGAATGGGCAAGTGGGTGCAGGACAAGGTGCAGGCCGGGGAACAGGAGTGAGGGGAGAAACAGAGAGGAGAACAGAGTGCTGTCACAAACTCACCTCTTGGATTCAATCAACCCTTTCCTCGTTGTTCCACCCACTATCAGGACGCCCCGCGCCTGAAGGAGCTGATAGAGCCCATGGCAAAACGCGTGGGCAAGTGGGTGCAGGACAAGGTGCAGGACGCGTGCCAGCCCTGCCGCCCCTGCAACTCCACCATCGTCCTCGTGGGTACGTGCTTCAGTTGCTGGTACAAATCAAGTCATGCAGATGCCCGTACGTGCGTCCGAATGTCCCCCTTCCCCTGTTTCCCTCGTTGTTTTCAATTTTTTGGTACCCTACCCTCGTTTGTTTCATACCATCTCCGCCCTGCTCTCCCTTATCCCTCCTCCCCACGCTCCTGCTTTTCTCCCCTGCAACCCTACAGGCAAGCCATGTCGAGTCAACGCCTTCCCCACTACGTGCCAAAGGAGGCTGTCCCCTGCTGAGGTGGACGACGAGGAGGATTTGGAGGGACCGAGCGATGATAGGGTGGAGGGAGAAGGGGGGGCAAGGAGGAGGAGTTTATTGGGTTGGAGTGGAGATGATTTGGAAGGGCCGAGCGATGATAGGGTGGATGGGGAGGGAGGAGAGGTGGTGGGAACAGGAAGAAGGAATCTATTGGGTTGGAGTGGGGAGGATTTGGAAGAGGCGAGTGATGACAGGGTGGAAGGGGAGGGAGGTGAAGTGGTGGGAGAGGGAGCAGGTAGAAGGAGTTTGTTGGGTTGGAGCGGAGAGGATTTGGAAGGTTCGGATCATGAGATAGTGGAGGGGGCGGGAGGGGGCAGCTACGAAGGGAGAGTAAGAGGGGAGGCAGAAAGAAGGGAGCTGGAGGAGGTGGAAGGAGGGGAGGTGCAAGAAGGGGACCCAGAGGAAGGGGAGGCGGAGGGGGGACGAGCTGGTGGGGGAAGGTCCCTCTTGCAGTGGGGGGCCTGGGGGGGGAAGGGCAAGGCGGGCAAGGGAGCAAGGGAAGGGGAGAGTGTGTGCAAGCCTGTGTCGCCCTTACACGCCATCCTAGCAGCGGAGTCCGTGGGGGAGAGGAGGCGAGTGGTGAGGGAGCAGGAGGAGAGCGAGAGGAAGCGGCCGCTATGTCGGGATGGCACCGCTCCGGGTTACTGGAAGGACTACAGCACGTGGGAGCCGTACGCCTGCCGCTACAGGTGTGTAGCTGGTACAGGTGTGCTGCCACTACAGGTCTGACAGGGTCAGGTCTTACAGGCGGAAGTCGTGATATAGCAACTGTGCCGGGTACTGGAAGGAGTACAGCACGTGGGAGCCTTATGCCTGCCGCTACACTCCTGGCGCTACACTCCTGGCGCTTCAGGTGATTCAGTCCTTTCTGCAGTGCGGAGCGGGTCTGTTGTGCTGCGTTGCAAGAAGAAGTGTTTGCATTCATGTCGCGGGGCTGGTAAGGATGGGTCAGCAGAGTGAGTGGGGGAGAGAGAGAGAGAGAGGAGGCGTGTGGTGAGGGAGCAGGAGGAGAGCAGCAGGGAGTAGCGGCGGCCGCTGCTGTGCCCGGATGGCACGGAAACAACTGGTTGCACCTCTTGGGGGGCTCCACTGGATGCCACCTTACGGCCGAGTTCCCCTCCCCTGCAGGACGACTACCACATGGTACGATGGAGCGAGCTGCCACACAACTGCAATCCCGCCTGCCAGCAAGAGTGCCGAGATTGCTGGTTCTGGGATTACTCACAGTGCTTCCTTCTTTGTCTACTCCCCCTTTCCACACACCAGGGAGTACAGCAAGAAGGAGGTCCGCACGTGCCTGCGCTACAAGTGGGTGCACCTCTTTGGGGAATCCTCCACGCGCCACCTCGCGGCCAATTTCTATTGTGACTTATAGCATCTCCTTCCACCTCCATCACTTCCCCCCCCCCGCACTCACCAGGGAGTACAGCAAGAAGGAGGTGCGGGCGTGTCTGCGCCACAAGTGGGTGCACTTTTTCGGGGACTCCACCACTCGTCACCTCGCGGCCGAGTTCTCCCGCCTAGCAGGCGTGCAGCGGCGAGCGTGGGACGCAGATAAGAACCGCACGGCCCTCATGGACACGGGCGATGGGGATGAGAACTCCCCGCTGCCGAGGATTACTTATCTCTTCAGAGGGAAGATGGCGCACCAACGCCACCCCATTGTGAGTTCTCGCGTGCAGAGAAGGTGTGCGAGACGCCTCAGAACAGGAGAGTGCAGTGCAGTGGAGTGGAGAGAGCGTGGGTGGGGTGCGAGGGAGGGAGTGCAGCGGCGGGCGTGGGACGCGGACAAGAACCGCACGGCGCTCATGGACAGAGAACTCTCCGCTGCCGAGGATTACTTACCTCTTCCGGGGGAAGATGGCACACCAGCAGCAACCCATTGTGAGTCAGCCTTGGGCTGCTAGCACCGCCAGGTGCAGAGCAAGCAGGCAACAAAGAGCGTGGGATGCGAACAACTGTATTTCCCTCATGGATACAGGGGATGACTTTTGAGACGGCTCTAAAGTCGTTTTGAGGCGCCTCAAAAGGCGTGGGATGCGGACAAGTTCTGGATTGCCCTCATGGATACAGGGATGATGGTTACAGCTCGCCGTTGCCGCTTCTCGAGGCATTCCAAGACCCCAAGGCACGTCAGCCAGTCACCATGGTGATGAGCACTGGGGCGCACAAGGTGTTCGGATGCCCCTTCTTCCTTCTCCCGCTGCCCCTTCTCCCCCTTCCATTCTCCCCCGTATTAGGCCGGGGTGCCCCCTGAAAGAGATCTGAACAACGACTTTCTCGAGGCGTTCAGAGACCCCAAGGCAAAGCAGCCAGACACCATGGTAATGAGTGTGGGGGCACACGAGGTGATGGGATGCCCCCCACTTCTTATGCCACCCTCCCACCTCCCGCCCCCTCTCCTCCCCCCATATCAGGCCGGGGTGCCTCCAGAGAGGGACCTGAACAACGACTTTCTCGAAGCTTTCCGAGACCCCAAGACAAAGCAGCCGGACACCATGGTGATGAGCATCGGCGCACACGAGGTGATCGGGTGCCATCTTATCCCTGCCTCCCCTCTCCCCCTGCCCCTACTCCCCCCGCCCTTTCTCCACCCACCCTTTCTCCACCCACCCTTTTTTCATCCGTCCTTCTTACGGCGTTCCGAGACCCCAAGGCAAAGCAGCTGGACACCATGGTGATGAGCATTGGAGCACACGAGGTGATCGGGTGGACCAGACCACCCCACCCCACATGGCCATCCGCATCGGGGCACATGCCATCTGAGGTGGTTGCTTAACCCTTCCTCTTGTGCCAGCCTCATCCTCTCCCCCTGCCCTTTCCCCCCACTGCCATTCTTTCCCATATCAGGCTGGGGTGCCCCCAGAGAGGGATCTGAACAACGACTTTCTTGAAGCGTTCCGAGACCCCAAGGCAAAGCAGCCGGACACCATGGTGATGAGCATCGGCGCACACGAGGTGATCGGGTGGACGAGGCGGCCCCCGCCGGACTTGGACTTGCGCACGTTCAAGCGCGACACAGAGGAGGCCATTGCGTTGCTCAATGGCACCTTCACTCGTGGCCGGCTGGTGTGGTGGAAAGCTCATTACATCTGGCCAGGTGAGTGAGACCTGAGGCACAGGGCATATGGACAGGTACGGTGCGGTGAAAAGTGTGCGGTGCAGTGTGCAGTGTGCAGTGCGCAGTGCGCAGTGCGCAAGGGAAGGTAGAGCGTTGGGTGATGAGCGTGGGGGCACACGAGGCCCCCCCTGGACCTGGACGTGCGCACGTTCAAGCGCGACACGGAGGAGGCGATCGCGCTGCTCAATGGCACCTTCACTCGTGGCCGGCTGGTGTGGTGGATTTTTGAGTCGACTCAAAAATATAATCCGTGTGTGAAGAGGCGATTTTTGAGTCGACTCAAAAATCACCTTCACTCGTGGCCGGCTGGTGTGGTGGAAGGCTCACTACATCTGGCCAGGTGGGGCTTGTAAATTGTATGTGTTCTGTAGAAAGAGGCGATTGTGCTGCTAAATGGCACCTTCACCCGTGGGCGGCTGGTCCGTTGGAAAGCTCACTACATCTGGCTAGGTGAGGGTTGTGAAATTTGTATGTATTTTCCTATATAAGAGGTGATTCCATCCACTTCTCAATGGCACCTTCACTCGCGGGCGCCTTGTGTGGTGGTGGAAGGCCCACTACAACTAACGTCCTGAGGTGCAGTGTATGATGACAGTGGATGTCTACTAATGTACACGCTAAGAAGTTTTTTATGTTTCCAAGTTAGTGCTTGCATCGGCCTCAGTTGTTCTTCCTTTTTTTTCACTTCTGTTTTTCTTTTATTTGTTTACAGGGAAAGTTACAGGGCAGGATTATTTCACCGTGCGCACTTTCCATGAGCTCTACCAGGCATATGCGTTCAGGCGCATGGCGCAACAGGGGTACACCATGATGGATCTTTACCAGACAACTAAGGACAGATACGACCAAGTCTTTAGAGGGGATGGCGCGCATTATGTCGGCCTGTGCTTGAAGCTTCACGTTCAAATTCTTGCCAATACCCTTTGCAACCATTTGCATAAGTCGTAGGTTTTGTACCATCACTGGCCTTTGTGTACTAACTGTACTGGAGTAAATTCTACGGGTATATTATGTTTTACCCGTGAGTCGTTGACCCCCAGGTTGAAGCACAGGTACGCTTGTATTAAAACAGGCAAAGAAACGGGGGTGGCTACATTGAACGATTTAATGGTGAGCTGGTAAATCTACTGCAAACCTGACATTGTTGGCATAAGCATATTGGCCAAAGGTGCGCTTACACTGTATCTGGGGAATTACGATACATGTCAATAGTCACGTCGTACAACGAACTGCCAATCTCAATGAACTGTAGCAGGGACGCGAGCTGCCAATTCGGTGAGTGACTGCGAAGAGGACAAAATCCACACCAAACAACATTTTGCGAAGGTCCAAATGCTGCAAGCTGGTCGTTGACTATTCTCTGTTTCCAGTTATTTCGCCGCGCCTGGACGGCGTTCGCTCGTGTAACAACATCCGTTTCGTCAGACCTCGTCTAATGTTCGCTCCGCCATTCTTGCGTCGCTTTCACCCTGCTGCTCCAGGATAGGAGCAATTATCCCAAAACCATCTCCCTCAGGTTTTGCTCCCTGAGGTCACTCACAACTGGACTTGAGCGGATCGTGACTGACGTGCTCACAGTGACTGAATGTGTCAGCCGCCAAAAACAGAGAAATGATTTTGCCGAGCAAATGTCACCAAGCTCCGTGGCTCTTGTGTGTAGGTTAGGTTACAAGCCTTGCTTTCTGGTACTTTTTATTTCCTTCGCGCAAGAACGCTAGCGACGAACCATTACTAATGGACTGAAAGAGGCGAAAAGGGAACAAAAGAAAACGAGCAGTTTGGCAGCATCCCTGTCTACCAGCAATCTTAATTATCATCAAGAATGCGGGACCCTGGCTCACGAGACGTTTCGAAACCACCGCGGTAGCATCGTCTTCGAAAATAGTACGCAGCGTGTCTGGTTCGCTGCATTGTGTGTCACCATTTCTAAGGCGCCTTGGAAACTGACTCCGCCACAGCATCGGCATCCCTGAAAATGGTACGCATTTTGACGCATGTAGGTGCATTCTCGGTAAATTTATAAAAGTTGTGTTTTGAGTGAAAGCAGAAAGAGTATGTTGAGTCGATTCAGGCCAAAACCTCGAGATTCTTGAAAATGTACGCATTCGACGCCCAGACTTCTTCTTAAGCTCAAGAGTGCGTTAGCTCTCCGCAATTTCAGTTACCATTTCCACCAGCTCGTGTCCACCCAGGCTTCTTCTTGATTCCCCTGGTTTTTGTCGTTTCCTCTTTTTTTACCCACGTAATCTAACCAACTGTCACCCACATCCATCCCAGTAACGGACGCTTACCAACAGCACCTGCATAAATATATAAATAAAATCGTCCTTTCCGCCATTTCCCGCCTTTCGCAGGCGCCATCTCCTCCCGCGGATGTGGGGGGGTCTAACAACAGCAGCGCGAGCAGAATTATAAAAGTCAAAGTCGAAACATCCAACCCTACTCCTCCCCTCCCCCCCTTCTCCCCTGCCTGCCATTACCAGGACTCCCCTCCGAGGGATGTGACGGACGCTTGCAACAGCAGCGCGAGCAGACTCTGAGTCAAGCACTCCCCCCCTCTTCTGTCTGCCATTCCCAGGAGGACTCCCCTCCCAGGGATGTGACGGACGCTTGCAACAGCAGCGCGAGCAGCGACAATGCTGGTCGAACGCACCGCAACGAACACAAGGAACGGAAGGAGCGAAAGGAGTGGAAGGACGGGAGTGAAGGAAGTGAGGCGTCGGAGGGAAGGCACCGGGGGGAGAGGAAGGAGAGAAAGCACGGAAAAGAAGATGGAAAGGAGGATGGTAAGGGGAGCCTGGGAAGCGAGGGGTCACATGTGGAAGGGGAGGAGGAGAGGGAGAAGAGGGAGAAAAGAGAGAGGAAGGAGAGAAAAGAGAGGAAGGAGAGGAAGGAGAAGAAGGACGTAGAGGAGAGAAAGGAGAGAAAGGAGAGGAAAGAGAAGAAAGAGAGGAAGGAAAGGAAGGCACAGACGCCCAGAGCAGGGGATTTGATGAGTCAGAGGGGAAGAGGGTTTGAGGTTCCTCCTGGGGAGCTTAGGAGGACCAGGAGTGGGGAGTCTCACCTGGATAGGGTGGAGGAACAGGAGGAGGGAAAGAGGAGAGAGAAGGAGAAGGAGGAGGAGAAGGAGAAGGAGAAGGGGTGGAGGGAGGATGGGGGGAGGGAAGAGGAGGGATCGAGGGAGAGAAGAGGGAGAGAAAATGGTGAGGTGGATGGGGTGAGTGGAAATAGCAGAGGTATGGGGAATGCGTATGGTGCTGCTGGGCCAGCAGGGGCAGCAGCAGGGGTAGCAGCAGGGGCAGCAGCAGGGGTAGCTGCAGGGGCAGCAGCAGGGGCAGCAGCAGGGGCAGCGGGGGCAGCGGGGGCAGCAACGGAGCTTCTCCCTTTCCACGCGAAACGTGGGGGTGAGTTGGAGGAGAGGGAGAGGAGAATTCGCGAGTTGGAGGAGGGGAGAGCGGCTCTGGAGAGTGAGAGAGCGCGGGTGCAGGAGGAGGGGCGGCGAGCTGAGGCAGAGATGCTGCGGTTGGTTGAGCAGAAGGAGGGTTTGGAAAGAGCTCAGGCCCGGTTAGAAGCAGAGAAGGAGCAAGTGGAGAGGGAGAAAGAGCAGCTGGAGAAGGAGAAACTGCAAGTGGAAAACGAGAAGCGGCTAGCTGAGGAGGAGATGGAGCGATCGCATGAGGAGATGAGGCGAGCGGACGAGGAAAAGAAGCAAGCGGAGGAGGAGAAGAGGCAATGGGAGGAGGAGAAGCAACAACTAGAGGAGGAGTTGGAATACCTGACTCGGGAGCTGGAAACAGAGCAGGAGATCGCAGCAGAGGCTGCTGAGATGGCGCAGCGGGAGTGGGCGGCGTGGCAGGAGGCGCTCCGCCAGCTGGCAGAGGTGGAGCGTGAGCTGGCGATGGAGGCGAGCGAGGCTGACGTGGCAGCAGCAGCTGCTGCTGCTGCTGCTGCTGCCACTGCAGCAGCTGCTGTGAGAGGAGCAGCAGGGGTAGGAGTATCTGAGGGGGTGACGATTTCTCTGAATCAGAACGGATCATTTGATGCTGATGCTGCAGATTTGGCTTCGTCCGTTCGATCACTGTCTTTCAAAGCACAGGCCACTGAAGCTGGTAGCATTCTGGAGCCTCCTCAACATTCATCGCTCGCAGCACAGGATACTGAAACGGACAGTATACTACAAAAGGGAGAAGCAAGCATGGACGGACCTGAAGCTGACTCTGACCCTTCAGACCCCTCAGACCCCTCTGACAGCTCTTCAGGCTTCTCTGGCTTTGACTTGAAACCGTCTGAACCAGGTCCTGGGCCAGAAGCACCGCACTTGACCGCTTTCCCAACCTCTCAGTCGCTCTCTGCCGCCGCTCATGCTGCAGACCGGGCTCACAACCCCAGCTCCCACCATCCCAGGCGCGTAGGCCCGGCGGCGCCGAAGCTGGACGTGCTGGCTCGGATCCGATCCGCCACGTTCGTGCTTCGCAACAGCAGCAGCCTCTCAAACACCCCTCTGGGAACCACCCCTTTGGCCTCCCCTGGGTATATGGCTAAAGGCTCGGGGTTCTCTTCAGGGGGAGGAACAGCAGAGGCAGCACAGGTGGCATCTGGCAAGGGTGAGAAATCGTCCATGGTGGAAGAAACAGGGGATGGTACTGAGGTGTCTCCTCTGTGCCTGCTGCTGCAGCAGCAGCTCCGCCATCACCAGCAGCAGATGGCGGCTGCTGATGGGGCTGCTGATGCTGGTGCTGCTGGTGCTGCTACTTCTGACAGAACTTCCACTGCTGGTGCTGCCGCCGTTGCTGCTGATGCTGCTGCCTCAGGTGTGGATTTCCTGACAGTTGATGGTGATGCCAGTCCAGCAGAGAGAGGCAGGGAAGCTAGAAGAAGAACTTCTTTCCCCAGGCAGGCAAGCAGGTCCCCTTACATGGGCCGACAGGCGAGTGCCCTCACAGCAACAGCAGCAACAGCAGCGGGAAACAGATTAGACCAAACCGCAGCAATGTATGGCCCTCGCCCTCCCCTGCGCCGGCGCTGCTTCACAGGCATCAACACCGCCTCTCTGCCCCAGTCTGCTTCCGTCCCCTCTGCTGCCTTTCCCCTTTCTCCCGTGTCCGATGCGGTCTTGTCCGGAGGGGGGGCAGCAGTGGGGGGAGAGGAGGGGTTTGAGTACTGCGGGGGTCAGAGCAAGGCGTGGAGAGCGGTGCACTGCGGTGGCTTTGTACACGTGCTGCTGCAGCTGTCGCTGGTCGGCGTGAATCGTCTGGAGGATAGCGCTGCGAGAGCAGTGGCAGGGGCAGCAGGGGCAGCAGCAGCAGCGAGAGACACAGCAGCAGCAGGGGCAGCAGCAGCAGAAGCAACAGGGAACAGTCTAGCAGTGTGTGCTCATGGTGCTGGGGCTTCTGCGACTTCTGCATCTGGTGCCTCTGCTGCTGCCAGTGCCTCTGCCTCTGCCGGTGTCTCTACTGGCTCTGGTCTCCTCTCAATGCTCTCATTCAGTCGACTGTTCCAGCATGTTGCCGCCGCTGCAGCCACAGCCGCAGCTGCAGCAACACCAGGCACACCAAGCGCAGCCGGCACAGCGGGCAAAGGGAGAAGCATTGCTGAGGAAGGGACAGAGCTCATAGATTTCAGTAGTGGCGAAATATCACTAAGCAACCGCACTACCACTGGCAGCAGCAGCAGTGGCAACAGTAACAGTGATGGAAGAAAGGCTCGGCAGGAGGCTCGGGATCAGGCTTCAGAGCAGGCTCGGAAGCAGACTCGAGAACAGGCTCGGGAGCAGGCTGTGGAGCTATACGTGCTGCAGCTACAGGCGGAGGCGCTCAGGGCTACATCCGAGGTGCTGAGGGAAGAAGCTGATGTGGAATGGAGGACTGTGAGGCGGCTGACAATGGAAAGAGAAGATGCTGAAGAGAGGGTGGCTGGGTTAGAAGCCACTCTCGTTCTATTCACAAAAGTCACGGTTGAAGGAGACTCGGTTCGAATGGAGATGGTTGGACAGGACACGGTCAATGCTGATGCCTTGGCTGGAAATACTCGGGTGCCAGGTGGGGGAGAGGAGGGAGAGGGTGTGGTTGGGGAAGAGACAGGGGCAAAGAAGGAAGGGGAGGAGGGAGAGGGTGTGGTTGGGGAAGAGAGAGGGGAGAGAAGGGGGGAGAAGCAGGAGGAGCAGGAGGAGCAGGAAGAGGGAGAGAATGTGATTGGGGAAGAGAATGGGAAGAATGGAGTGGGGGAGCGGGAGGAGGAGCAATTTCAGCAGGTGTCTCGAAATGTTCTCTTCTCAGCCATTGCGGATGCTTGGAAGCAGGCCGAAGCGCTTGACCAGGTGAGTCAACGCAAGTCACGACTGTCACGGCGTGGAGCTTGACCAGGTGAGTCAACGCAAGTCAACGTGCTTGACCAGGCGGGTCAACGCAAGTCAATGTTTCATTCTGCCTTCCTCATCAAATCAAATCTCCTTATCTGCACTTAGCTCACCTTCCCCCCCCCCCCCCCCCCCCTCCTCGTCCTCCCCACCCTCCTCCTCCCGCGTCCCTCTTGTATCCGCTGCCCTTCCTTTTCCACAGGCTACTCTTGCCAGCTGGCAGGCAAAACCACGCCCGCTTCCCCACCGCTCATATTCTTCCCCAATCACCCTTTCCCTCGACAGGCTATTGTGTTTTTTAGAATGATAAAAAACCAGCTTGCCAGCTGGCAGGCAAAACCACACCCGCTTCCCCACCCACTTTGGCTCATTCTTTTCCCCAACCATACCCTTTCCCTCCACAGGCTATTCTTACCAGCTGGCTGGCAAAAGAGGAGAAGGAGAGGGAGATGGACATGGTACTCCAACAGCTGAGCGATGTCGAGACAAGAATCGCCGTCCTCCGGGCCACGGATGCTACCATCATCGGCCCTCTTTCTGTGAGTCGGCTATTTTGTTACAATGCTGTGCTGCTTCACGCTGTTACGATGCTAGTAAATAAACATCTTTAGCTCGCTTGCTTGGCATGGCATTGTTCCGGATTTTCATTTTTTCGCTTCCTTGTCTGCTACGATTCCCTTTTCTTCAGGGGAAGTGGGACCTGGTTTCCTCGATGGCCCCTCTCATAGCAATGGTGCTACCAGGGTACGTCGCCGGCGCTGCACCGACTCGCTCGCTTACACTGCCGGCAAAATTACATCCTGATAGCCCCAAAAATAACAAATCTTACTTGACACGGCGCAGTACCAGCAGCGCTGCAGCGAGTCATTGAGAGTGAACGTTTGCTTCAAGGGGTGTACGGTACGGTATGGTTTGTTTGTGGTTGTGCTAATTGTTGCGATCAGATGTTGATCGTACCTAGGATCACCTCAGGAAGGTTCGCACACGTTTTGAGTAGTGGTGGGCCCTTGATCTCAATAGCAGAGTGGATGTAAAATGCTTTAGATAATAAAAACATGCAAACACAGGAATACAAACAAGCGTACAAGGGGATACGAATCGACCTAGGCTAGCCATGTACTCTAAGGGGTACATTCCCTTATTGCAGCGAAATCCAACCGTGCAACTCCGGACAGTTACGAAAACCGCCCGGGCAGAATCCTCGCCACTACTTCTGCCTGATACTGTCTGCCTTGACGGTCCAGGTTGTCAAACATATGTTTATATGTTTAAGTTAGATAGGCTGTAGTGGGGTACTCACTGTGGGGTACAACCCCTTAGATTTTTCTTCTTGTACCAACACTCTCGACAGTTGAATCATCCATTGCCTAGCCTTTCGACATGGCATCTAGAGCGTAGGTCCTTAGGACCTAGGATTAGGGCCCACCTCACCTGCCTTGCCTACTGCCCGCGCGCGCCTCGGCTGCCCGCGCGCGGCCCCTTTTTTTTTTGCCGCGCATGCCTCTTACGCAGCTCGCGCGGCCCGTTTAGGCCCCGCCCGCGCGCCACTTCCGCAGCTCGCGCGGCCCGTTTAGGCCCCGCCCGCGCGCCACTTACGCCGCCCGAGCGCAGCCCGTTTAGGCCACGCCCGAGCAGCCCGCCGCCGCACGCCACCCGCAGTCGCGCGAGGCCCGTCGCCACGCGCAGCCACGCAGTCGCGCGCAGCCCGTCGCCACGCGCAGCCAGGAGCCGCGCGCAGCTCGTCGCCACGCGCGCTGCCCGCAGCCACGCGCGCAGCCTGCAGCTTAGCGCAGCAAGCCGCTTGCTGCTGCTGCCTGCCTGCCTGCTGCTTGTTGCCTGCTGCCTGCCTGCTGTTGCTGCCTGCTGCTGCCTGCTGCCTGCTGCTGCTGCCTGCTGCCTGCTGCTGCCTGCTGCCTGCCACCTGCCTGCAGCCTGCCTGCTGCCTGCCTGCTGCCTGCCTGCTGCTTGCTGCCTGCTGCCTGCCTGCTGCTGCTGCCTGCTGCTGCCTGCTGCTGCCTGCTGCCTGCTGCTGCTGCCTGCTGCCTGCTGCCTGCTGCTGCCTGCTGCCTGCTGCCTGCTGCTGCCTGCTGCAGCCGCTCCTGCCTGCCACCTGCCTGCAGCCTGCCTGCTGCCTGCCTGCTGCCTGCCTGCTGCTTGCTGCCTGCTGCCTGCCTGCTGCAGCCTGCCTGCCGCCTGCCTGCAGCCTGCCTGCTGCCTGCCTGCTGCCTGCCTGCTGCTTGCTGCCTGCTGCCTGCCTGCTGCAGCCTGCCTGCCACCTGCCTACTGCCTGCCTGCTGCCTGCCTGCTACTTACTGCCTGCTGCCGCCTGCCTGCTTGCTGCCTGCTACCGCCTGCCTGCCACCTGCCTCCTACCTGGTGCCTGCTGCCTCTGTCTGCTGCCTGCTGCCTGCTGCCTCCTGCCTTAAGCCAATATGGCGACGCCCAACGTTCTCGCATTCGAGCCTGACGGTCGTCCCCTCGAGTTCGCTGTGTGGTTAGACGATCTCCAGCTGTTCCTTCTGACTGATGCCAAAGAGGGCGTTTCCCTGTTTCATTACGTCTCTGGCACTGCCGTTACTCCTGCTGCTGATGCTCCTGCTCTAGAACGCTCCCAGTGGCAGACTCGTGATGCTGCTGCACGCCTAGCTATTAGGAACCACCTGCCGATTACTGAGCGAGCGCACTTCAGCCAGCACAGAACTGCTAAGACACTGTACGACGCTGTAGTTGCGCGCTACTCCTCCCCGGCCACTGCAGCCATAGGTCGACTCATGCTACCGTACCTGTTCCCCGATCTTTCCTCGTTCACCACTGCTGAGGACCTAGTTTCTTACCTACGTGCTACTGACTCTCGCTTTCGTGCCGCTCTTTCAGCCGAGTTCTGCGCCGCAAACCCCCCCCCGATGTACTTCACTCTCTATTTCCTCGTCACCCGCCTCCCTGACACTCTTAGCTCTGTCAGGGACCACTTCCTAGCGCTAGACCCCACCACTCTCACTGTCGACGACTTCGAGAAGCACCTCCTCGCAGCAGAGAAAAACATCCTCGCTGTAGGTGCTGCTCGTGGCACCCCTCGCTCTCCCCTCTTTGAGGGGTGCTCCCCCTCCCCTCTCACCCCCTCCTACGCCTTCGCAGCTGCTGTTCACGACTACCTTGGTGCTGAGGGGGTCGGAGCTGCTTCCGCTCCTAGTGGGAAGCGTCGCAGCGGCAGGGGCGGCAGGGGTGGCAGGGGCGGTGGGGGTGGCGGTGGTGCAGGCGGCGGGGGAGGTGGAGGTGGTGGGGGTGGTCGTGGGGGTGGAGGCGGTGGAGGTGGTGGTGGGGGCGGCGGAGGCACTGGGAGCGGTGGAGGGGGCAGCAGCGGCGGTGGGGGAGGAGGGGGCGGTAGTGGCATTGGTGGTCAGGGCCAGCAGCAGCCGCAGCAGCAGCAGCAGCAGCAGCAGCAGCAGCAGCAGCAGCAGCAGCAGCAGCAGCAGCATCAGCGTCAGCGCCAGACCCCCACTTCCCAGCAGCTTCTTGACTGGTATGCCGGGCGTGGGGCTTCTGGGGGTCCTGGTCGCTGCCCCTATATCATCCGCACAGGTCCCCGCGCTGGTCGCCAGTGCACAGGTTTTCACACTGAGCAGCGCTGCTTCGCTCGGCTTAGCGACGCCTGGCGCGCCAAGTTTCCTGATGCTACTGAGTTCCCCAACTGGGCAGACTTGCTTAGACGTGATGTACCTATCTTTGATCTTGACTATGAGGCAATTCTTGCTGCTATGTATGCATTGTCTGTTAGTGCTGAGGGTGACTGCTACTTGTGTGTGCCGCCGGCTCCTGGTATAGTCCCTGGTATAGCCCCTGCAGCACTTGGTGCTTGTGAGTCTGCTCCCCCTGGTACTGCGCCTGCACAGGCCTTGCACACCTTTACACTTGACTCTGGTGCTTCCCGCTGTTTCTTTCGCGACAGTACCACAGTCACTCCCCTCCCTGCACCTGTTCCTGTCTCACTGGCTGACCCCTCTGGGGGCCCAGTGCTTGCACGGTCTTCCACTGTGCTTCCGTGTCCGGCGGTCCCGTCTGGTGAGCTGTCTGGTCTCCACCTCCCCTCGTTCTCTACGAACTTGGTGAGTAACGCTGTCCTCCAGGATGCGGGGGTTGACACCTTCACCCCTGGCCGGCAGCGTGTGGCGATTTGCACGTGCTCCCAGACTGGTCGCCACCTGGCCACGTTCACTCGTGCGCCAGGATCCATTCTGTACACCCTCACCACTGCGTCGCGCTCCGCCCCTTTGTCTCCCCAGTTGCACGCTTCTGCTCAGGTTGCTACACAGTGTGAGTGTCGCCGGCTGTCGCACGACACTCTCCTGTGGCACCACCGCCTTGGTCACCCCTCCCTGCCTCGCCTTCGTAGCATGCATTCTCGCTTCCTTGTTTCTGGTCTTCCCAGGTCTCTGCCTCCCCTCCCTCCCTCGCCTGCGCCGCCCTGCATTGCTTGCGTCGAGGGGCGGCAGCGCGCCGCTCCTCACTCCTCCTCGTTCCCTCCCACAGAGGCTCCACTGCAGACTCTACACCTGGACGTGTGGGGCCCAGCCCGCGTCCGTGGACCGGGCCACGAGCGGTACTTCCTGCTGGTTGTCGACGACTACACGCGTTACACCACGGTCTTCCCCTTGCAGCGCAAGGGGGATGTCCCTGCTGTTCTGATCCCCTGGATCCGCGCTACTCGTCTCCAGCTCCGCGAGCGGTTCCAGACGGACTTTCCTGTCCTGCGTCTGCACTCTGACCGATGTGGTGAGTTCTCCTCAGACCTCTTGGCAGCCTTCTGTGCGGAGCACGGCATCCGCCAGACTTTCACGCTTCCGGCCTCTCCGCAGCAGAATGGGGTTGCTGAGCGCCGCATTGGCTTAGTCATGGAGGTCGCTCGTACCTCCATGATCCATGCGGCTGCCCCCCATTTTCTGTGGCCGTTTGCGGTCAGGTACGCTGCGCATCAGCTCAACCTTTGGCCCCGTGTCTCCTTGCCGGAGACCTCGCCCACACTGCTGTGGACGGGGAAGGTTGGCGACGCGTCGCGTTTCCGAGTCTGGGGTGCTCGTGCCTTTGTCCGCGATACCGCTGCGGACAAGCTCTCCCCTCGCGCCATTCCTTGTGTCTTCCTTGGCTTTGTCCCTGACGCGCTTGGTTGGCAGTTTTACGACCCCGCCTCGCGCCGTGTCTTTGCGTCTCAGGATGTCACCTTTGACGAGTCGGTCCCCTTTTACCGCCTCTTCCCCTACCGCACTGCTCCTCCCCCCCCCCCCGCCGCTCTTTCTTGCCCAGGTCCTCCCCAGGTAGACCCCCTCCCCGCGCCAGGTCCTGCTCCTTCAGGTGTCTCTCAGGTAGACCCCCCCGCGCCTGCGCCTGTTGAGGTCACTGGTGACTCAGGTCCTGCTGCTAGTGGTGATGTCCTTGGGGGTGCGGAGCTTGGGGGTGCTGAGTCTGGGGGCGCTGAGCGTGTGGAGCCTGGAGGTGCTGAGCCTACGCGTGAGGAGCCTGGAGGTGCTGCGTCTGGGGGTGCTCCGTCTGGAGGTGCTGCGTCTGGGGGTGCTGAGCCTGCGTGTGCGGAGCCTGGGGGTGCTGAGTCTGGGGGTGAGTCGCCTGAGGGTTCTGAGACTGCTGTTACGCGGTCTCCCTGGAGCAGTCGTCTTCGTTCGCGTGTGCCCCTTACCTCCCAGCAGCTGCACGACTGGTACCGTCGCCGTCAGCGTCGCACTTCTGCACCTCTGGGCTCTACTGCTGGGGGTTCTTCTGCTGGTGTCGCTGGTCCCGGAGGTGCTCGTAGTGGGGGTACTGGAGCTGCTGGGGCTGGCGGTGTTGCTGCTGGAGGTGCTGGAGGTGCTGGAGGTGCTGGAGGTGCTGAGGGTCCTGCGGTTGCTGGCGGTACTGGACCTGCTGAGGGTCCTGGAGCTACTGGCGGTGCTGGAGCTGCTGAGGGTCCTGGAGCTGCTGGAGGTACTGGAGCTGCTGGAGGTGCTGGAGCTGCTGGTGGTGCTGGAGCTACTGGTGCTGGTGGCATTGCTCAGCCGCGCCTGTTCTTCGCTCCGCCGTCCCCGTCGTCTCAGCCACCACCTGACTCTGCACTTCGCTAGGTTCTCAGTCTTCCCTCGTCTACTGGTCTTCCGTTACAGCCTGGCTCACCGCTGCCTGCTCCTTCTCCGTACACAGAGCAGACTAGTGGCCTTGCAGAGCGTCGTGAGCCTGCGTCGCGTCCTGTCTCACCTGTCCGTTCTGGTCGTTCCGGTCGTCGTGTTCCTAGTCAGAGACAGCCGACTGTCTCCGACCCTCACCTTGTAGTTCGTCGTCCTTCCTCTCCTTCGTCGCGTGTTCCTCTGCTGCCTCCCCCTGCGTCCTCTCTGCCTGTCGTTGCTGACCCTGCGTCTGACCTGTTTCGTGCTGAGCACTCTACTGTCCCGCGTCTGCTTGCCACTGTTGTCACTGACCCGTCGTTTGAGTCTGCTGCTGCGTCTGCCTTAGTCGCTGAGCTTGTTGACTTTGCTGCTCACTGTCGTCTAGACTACGCCGCGAGTCTTGTTGCTGAGTCTGAGTCTGTCTGTCCTCCGTCCGTCGGGGGTGAGTGTGCTCTTGGCACGGACGTCCTTGAGGACAGGCAGGAGGACCTTGAGTGTCTTGCAGCCGCTGCGCCTCATCTCGTGTCCATGCTGCTTGCCCCTGAGGGAGACCCGGATGCACCAGACCTCCCTACCCCGCGCTCTTACGCTGAGGCGATCGCGGGTGAGTACTCCTCTCAGTGGCAGACAGCCATGGACGCAGAGATGGCATCCTGGAAGTCCACAGGCACTTACGTTGACGAGGTTCCCCCTCCTGGGGCGAACATTGTCAGTGGCATGTGGATTTTCAGGGTGAAGCGGCCTCCAGGTTCTCCGCCTGTCTTCAAGGCTCGTTACGTGGCTCGAGGCTTCAGTCAGCGAGAGGGAGTTGACTTCTTCCAGACCTTCTCCCCCACCCCGAAGATGACCACTCTTCGGGTGCTGCTGCATGTTGCCGCTCAGCGTGACTACGAGCTTCACTCTCTTGACTTCAGCACAGCCTTCTTACAGGGCAGCTTGCACGAGGAGATCTGGCTGCGCCGCCCTCCTGGCTTCACTGGGTCGTTCCCTCCTGGTACCCAGTGGAGCCTCCGGCGGCCAGTCTACGGTCTCCGCCAGGCGCCACGTGAGTGGCACGACACACTGAGGACGACACTTGCGGCTCTTGGGTTTGCTCCGTCGACTGCTGACCCGTCGCTGTTTCTGCGCACCGACACTTCGCTGCCGCCGTTCTACATCCTCGTGTACGTCGACGACTTGGTCTTTGCCACTGCTGACACTGAGGCTCTCGCCCTGGTGAAGTCGGAGCTGCAGAAGAGACACACGTGCACAGACCTGGGTGAGCTGCACAGCTATCTTGGCTTGCAGATCACTCGGGACAGAGCACGCCGCACCATCACACTGACTCAGTCACACATGGTGCAGCAGGTCCTTCAGCGCTTCGGCTTCACCTGGTCCTCGGCACAGCCCACTCCTCTGGCTACAGGTCACTCGCTCTCAGCTCCACCTTCGGACGAGTCCGTAGAGCCGAGTGGTCCTTACCCAGAGCTAGTGGGCTGCCTCATGTACCTGATGACCTGCACTCGTCCTGACCTTGCGTACCCTCTTGGTCTTCTGGCTCGCTACGTGGCTCCTGGTCGGCACCGAAAGGTGCACATGGATGCTGCTAAGAGGGTACTACGCTACTTGTGCAGTACATCGGGCATGGGGCTCGTGCTTGGAGGACGGGGTGACGTTGTCCTCACTGGTCACTCGGACGCCTCTTGGGTTGACGACCAGGCTACGCAGCGGTCGTCACAGGGTTACACCTTCAGCCTTGGTTCTGGTTCAGTTTCCTGGCGTTCTACACGTTCGTCTTCAGTTCTCGGCTCCAGCTGTGAGGCCGAGATCTACGCCATAGCCATGGCTGCGCAGGAGCTACGCTGGCTCACCTACCTGCTGACCGACTTGGGAGAGCGGCCTTGTTCTCCTCCAGTTCTGTACGTCGACAACAAGGCCGCCATCGCCTTGTGTCAGGAGCACAGACTGGAGCACAGAACAAAGCACATCGCTCTCCGTTACTTCCTTGCTCGAGAGCTGCAGCAGCGTGGCCAGCTTCGTCTTACTTACGTGGCCACTCGGGCCAACACTGCTGATATATTCACCAAGGCGCTTCCGCCTGGTGATCATCAGCGTTTCTGTACTTTGTTAGGCCTTGTGCCCACGCTTCCTCACTTGCTGTAGGCTTTGTTTGTACTGTGATCTATATGTATACCTGCATGCTTGCTCTTGTAGGTTGATATCAATGTGCTGTTGTTGTTACACATATATCTCTGCATGTGAACTGGCCTTGTGGCCTCTTGCTTGTGCTCAGATTGCGTGGTGACGTTGTGATCCACCCTGAGCTTGCTTTGCATTTCCTGTCTGGCCTTGTGGCCCTCTGTTCTCCCCCACTTTGCCTATGGGGGTGTGTCAAACATATGTTTATATGTTTAAGTTAGATAGGCTGTAGTGGGGTACTCACTGTGGGGTAGAACCCCTTAGATTTTTCTTCTTGTACCAACACTCTCGACAGTTGAATCATCCATTGCCTAGCCTTTCGACACAGGTCCCTTCGTAACTGTCTGACCCTTCGCGTTACTTCCGCCCTTTCGTCTTCAACCTCGGTACTAAATTCTTCGATTGCTGCTGTCAGGAGTGCACTGTAATGTTTCATCAATTGCTATTCGTAACACTAATTAAGGTGGTTGCGTGTCATTATGTGCTCACATGACACTGCAGCAGTTTTATCTATCACAGCTACGGGGACGGGATCACCTATTTTATGCCCAGTTACTGATTCTAACCTTATTTGTACCATGACATGTATGATATGCCAGCCTCTTTGTTATTACCATGCTTTTGATTTGAGTAAACCATGCGATTCTGGATTCCTGGTGTTCTGGAAGATGGTTGTTTCAGATGCACTGTTTTTGCTAGAAGGGAGCGTGTATTGGAGTTTTAGGTACACAAGTAAACAGGTGTAGAGGATACTCTTGTGTGGTGGTCTGCTCTTCTGCGTTCTCGTGTGCCTGGGGGGGTGCATCTCCCATTACTTGACGATGCCACCTGGAGCTCGTCCACGGTGGATACACGTCTCCAGGAACAGAGTGCGTGTCTGTAGGTTTTCCTGCCCGTGATGGCCTAGTCAAGTTCATCTCGTGTCGTTGATTCGTGGCATAGTGCACTAGTCGAAACGCGGTTCTTTTTCGTGCTGACCGAAACGAAAATGTGGCGCACCCCAGCACTCATTTTACCAATCAGGGCTCGCGATATGTTCCCCAACCACCACCACCAACTCCCTCCCACACTTTCCCTTCCACGTCAGTCATCCTCGTCATTATTGGGATCTCCTTCCTGGCCTTACAGATGAGCATCTCACGTCAGCAAATGTCTGGATGTCTGAATCCAGAATTCACCAACACTCCCAAGGAGGAGCCATAGATTTTGGAATGTCGGGCGAAGGAACTCCTCCCTTGAAGTCTCCCAATTTTGTCTCAATGTTTGCATTTACAGGACAGCTTGTCACATCATCGGTTCGCTGTTGAGGCTTAGCTGCTCGTGCGTGCTAAAATAGTTTCTTTACTTTTTTTGGCACGTGCTGTGTTGTAGGTTTCCTCCTGGGAGCACACGTGCAGCAGCTAACAATCAGCAGCCATGATGCGTAAAGGAGCCCTCCGTGTTCTGGCCGCCGCCATGGCCAGGCATTCAGCGGCCTCAGCGGCCGTTCCGGCACCAATAGGAGCCTCCCTGACTCCTGCCGCTGGAATCATCCCTCAAATCCTCCACCGAGGATTCGCCAGTGATGAGAATCTGAAACGTACCCCCTTGTACGACTTCCACGTGGCGGAAGGCGGGAAAATGGTCCCCTTCGCCGGATACAGCATGCCGATCCAGTACAAGGACAGCATCATCGATTCCACCATTAACTGCCGGACAAACGGAAGCCTGTTCGACGTCTCCCACATGTGCGGCCTTAGTCTGAAGGGCAAGGATGTGATTCCGTTCCTGGAGACGCTCGTGGTTGGCGACATTGCGGCCCTCAAGGATGGCACTGGGACCCTGTCGGTCTTCACGAACGAGAAGGGTGGAATCATCGACGATACTGTCATCACTCGGGTTACTCCTTCGCACATCTATCTCGTCGTCAACGCCGGCTGCCGCGAGAAAGACCTGAGTGAGTCTTTTATGAGTGGATATGCATTGTCAGCTTTTTTATTTCACATCTCCCTGACCATGCTGTTCAACACATCCCGATGTCCCCGTTACTGTCCAATCAATTCCCCCTCGCGATACAACATCTTGAAACAATGCCTACCACGAATCGGCGGTCCGTCTTTCAGCTCCATCTCACACACTTCCCCTCTCCTTTCCACTTTGTTTTGCATCCGTGTCCCACAGACCACATCGGAGCTCATCTGGAGGCCTACAAGGCGGCTGGCAAGGACGTTTCGTGGCAAATTCACGACGACCGCGCGCTGCTGGCGCTGCAGGGCCCTCTCGCGGCGTCCACGCTGCAGCCGCTTGTGGCGACGGACCTCTCCAAGATGTCCTTCAGCGATTTCACCATGCTCAAGATCGACGGCCACGATTGCTTCCTCACCCGGACGGGGTAAGTCAAGCAGTTCTCTCCCTTTCTGCGCCCATTTTCTGCTTTGCATGGATTCTATTTCCTGTCCGCTTTTACTCTGTCGGGATGAATGTAGACGGTGCTTCGAAAACTACCAACGGCTTAATTCTATTGGCGGGAGCCATGCTCACAATGCGGAAGATTTGGCAGAATTACATGCTCTAGCCTTGTCACAGTTAAAGCTAGATAACGCGTGCATTCTCTTGCTTCGGTATAGGGTTTGACTGATGCTGGTCAACTATTATCCTTACACGAATCCAATTCCTCACTCTTACTTCCCCTCCACCCACTTCCAGCTACACTGGAGAGGACGGTTTTGAAATCTCCGTGCCTAATGAGAACGCACTGGCACTTGCCAAGAAGCTTCTCGAGGTGAGCGAGGGCAAGGTGAGGCTCACTGGCCTTGGCGCCCGCGACTCACTCCGCCTGGAAGCCGGACTCTGCCTGTACGGCAACGATCTAACGGAGGAGATTACCCCTGTGGAAGGTGCGCTTGCATGGACAATCGCGAAGAGGCGGCGGGCAGAAGGTGGATTCATTGGAGCTGACGTGATTTTGAAGCAGCTGGCGGATGGGCCTGCAAGGAGGAGAGTGGGGTTGACGTCTACTGGAGCACCTGCTAGGAGCCATGTAGAGATTTTGGATAAGGAGGGGAATGTGGTTGGGGAGGTGACCAGTGGAGGGTTCAGCCCGTGCCTGAAGAAGAACATTGCGATGGGGTATGTGAAGAATGGGCTGCACAAGGCGGGTACGGAGCTGAAGGTGAATGTGAGGGGGAAGGTTAATGATGCTGTGATTGCCAAGATGCCGTTTGTTCCCACCAAGTATTATAAGGCGTGAGCATATGCGGCGCAAGTGGCTCATATGTGCTGTGAAGGGTGAGTGGGGCGAGGGGAAGTAAGGTTGCATGTAGTCACAATAACAACTCTATTGAATTGGCTACTTTCTTGTACAAATGCTTATTTCCCCTAAGCATTCACGAGACTGCAAGCTTAATTCCAAAGAGCAGTTGTACAACCACAATAGCACTTCTACTGTACGATTTATTTCTGGTTATCACTCTAGAGATCTCTGTGAGCATAGGCTATATGAGTACTGGTGTATGGTGATGAGAAGAATATATTATGAATTTCCATTTTAAATATCACATGGTGATGAGCTGGTGTTGATACAAGCAATAAACCTATACTGAACATTTGCAGGGTATCCAAAGGTGGCGACGCGGCGTCCTCAGGCCGTACTGTTCAAATAAAACCCAAAGGTTACTTGACCAAGATACGGTACTGTACAGTGCAGTCCATTGCAACAATTGGCTTTCCTTCCAAAGACTTCGGACATGCACGGAGTTGCTGCTGCCTCCTCGTCCGATCATTCTGCACATGGAATCTGGATCTTTCCGTGAACAACGGAGGACATCTGAAACATACACTCAGTGCCGAGTATTTGTTTTGTTTTCGCTTTCCTGCATGAAAGGAAAATTAGGCACGTTCCGACCAACCGATGTTGAGCAGTGTAGACTTGAAGGTGCAAGAACGGGTTTCATCGCCAGACCATAACATTGTTTTTGTAACTACCCAATGGTGAGTACCATTGGGTAGTCACAAATACAACCTTGCTGTAGCAACTTGTATTTCAGAAACTTCTGTTGGGAAGAGGATCAAGTGAACGAAAGCTGGAATCTCAATCCACACAATTGGTGAACGAGAAAGGATGTGAATCTCTAAAAGGCGGGGTGCAACTTCTTAGAAACAGTAGCAGGACAAACATGGAGTGTGCGTAACGAGACCCTTATTGGATGAAAAAAATGGAATCTCGGAAAAGACAAACTTCTCGCCACAGAACTGCCTGGGACAACCAAGTTCCAAGCTATAATACTTCGAAGTTGAAGCTGATAGTTGGGCCACGGCTTTAATACATCTCACTCGGTAGCGTCGGTAGCGCTCGGTCGCTCTACCGTTTCGCTAGACGACGCTACTGAGTGAGTCAGCATTCTGACCACGGGCAGAAAAAAACTAAAACCCATTCGGACTGCATGCCATTCGGGAGCCTCAGCCCTAAAATTTTAAGGTTGATGCCTCCCGAATGGCATGCCTTCCGAGTGGGTTTTTTGTTTTCTTTCCCGCTGACTCATTGCACTGCCTGCTGACGCAGGCAGTGCAATATATTATACAGCTCACGCTATTTATTACAGTATTTGCAGCGATATGTGTGGAGTGGACGGATCTGTTTTGGTGGACTGAGCTGAAAGCCCAGCCACACCACAACACCCATAGTTGTCACAACACCTCATCCACACGCCATCCACCAACCAGAGTTTCGTTCCACTCCCACAAAAATTTCACAGTTCAGTTCAGTGTACACGTACTGTATGTCAAACTTTCATTTCATAGCTACACCCTGTTTCTCGCTACACTGACCCGCGCGTAACTGGCAGGCTGGCCTTGTCCTATTCGATTTGCCCAAATAAACCATACCGAAACCTCAATCAACCAGCCTCAACCGAGCTTTTTCACTCTTGAAGTCAGTATAGCGGACGTCAGTATGGCGAGAAAGAGGGTGTAGCCCTTTGGTTGGTTGACGTTCTTACAGTGTATCCATTTGAGCTGGAAGCTGCCCAAGCCCAAACCAGGTCCATCAGCCGTCCGTGTCACCACCAATTATCCACCCCACCATCTCGAAGCTGAATGCCACACGACCACCGTCCAGATACTGCGCGCCAAAAAAATCAGTGTCTGTATTTTTCTGTTCCACCTCGAAACCTCCAATATTGGTGGAAATCTGCCGCTTAATAAGCTGCCGCGTGGCACACAACCCGGTGAACGGAAGAGCATTTTAAACCGCTTCTTGACATCCACGTGTGACACGCGAGGCGCGGTAGGGCTACTCTTCGCACACCCAAACCCGATGCCCTGTCACACCACCAGTTTTTTTTTTTTTTTTTTTTTTTTCCCAGTTCCCCCAACCCAAACCCGATTCCCGAATCACACCGCCGCACCACACGGAGCGGAACGGAACACCAAGGAGGTTTCGTCAATTCTGCCTGTGTGGCTGGCAGTTGCATGCAGCAGCAGGCCATCGCATCTGCGGTGACGTGATGTGTGCCCCCTCTTCTGCATCACTTCCCTTCCAACCCAACTCTCGGTGGTCCTAGCCTAGACTCATCCTCAGCTGCTCTCTTGGCCAGCATTCAGGGTTGAGATATTTGATGCCTGCTCATTGCCACCAACTCTGGGACACAAATGGCGGGTTTGCACAACATCGTGTTGTTGAGGTTCCTAGGTTCGTGCCTGAAGCCTCTCGAACAAAAAGGATTGCCTTCACCTCACATCTCCCAGCGTGCTGCCCGTCAAACACACGTTCCGTGATCAATCCCAGACATCACGCGAGCGGCACTGAATTCGTGTTTTCCGCGAACTCTCAGCGTCCCTTCCCCAGGTAGTTGACTCACTCGCTCTTTAAATCCCACACCGCGCCATGGTCTCTCCGGATCCTTCATCGGACGGTGAGAAACGAACCAAAGAAAAGGAGGATGGCGCAAATCCCGTTCAGAATTTCCGTATCTTTGGCGTTAGCTTAGCGCAGCCACCCCTGAATTCCCCTCCGCAGCCCGCCGGGCCGGTAGAACTGACGCCTACGTCAATTCCGCTCCGCACGTCGTCTCCCCCCGATGGCATGCGCAAGTGCGCAAGCACGAGTGCGCTGGCGGATCTCAGCCGCCGCCGCCGCAATTTTGCCTCTTCGGGCGCAGCGGCTCGTTTGCGGGTTCCGCTGTTCCGCCCGGGTGAGGGGAGCGTGGGGAACAGTATGGACGAGGATAGCGCAGCCGAAGATGATGCGGAAGACGCGGAGGACGCGGAGGAGGAGGGGCGCGCGGAGGGCGCAGGGGGAAAAGCGGAGCGGGAAGCCCGTGATTCTCGTGGCGGCGCGTTGCAGCGACCGGCAGGACGGCCGGCAGCGGACCCCGAGTCTTCCGCCGGCAGCGCCGGCGGCTGCGGCGGAGAACGGGCGCGACAGGCGGCGGTAGCGGCGCGCAGCGAGGGCTCGAATTGCACGCCGCAACCCGCGGGAAGTGAAGTCGCGAACGCGCCGATGAGCGGGCGGGGGGGCGGGATTGGCGGAAGGTTTGATGGAGGGCGGGGCGGAGGCGGGGGCGGAGGCGGAGGCGGCGGAGGAATCGGAGGCGTCGGGCACATGGGCGGAACATCGTCGTCGAGGGAGCGGAAGAAGGGGATTGCGTGGACGGAGGAGGAGCATCGGCTGTTTCTGATTGGTTTGAGCAAGCTGGGGAAGGGCGACTGGCGGGGGATTTCACGTAACTACGTGACGACGCGCACGCCCACGCAGGTGGCGAGCCACGCGCAGAAGTATTTCATCCGCCAGAGCAACCTGAACAAGCGCAAGCGCCGGTCGAGCCTGTTCGATATTAGCACTGACGTGGTACGTGATTGGGTGTGATTTAAAGTGCGCTCGTTGTTCCGACTTGAGTCCTCGTTCTTTGTTGAAACTCGTTCCTCGCTTTCACTCCCCTTGCGGCGCCACTCCCCCACCTCCTTCGTGTCTCGATCCATGCGCACGCCATCTCTCCCGTCGCTCACCTCTCTCTCTCTCCCTCCCTGCGCCACTCCCCCATTTCCCCCATCTCCCCCATCCGCCCCTCCCGCCTTCTTCCCCCCCGCTACAGCTAGCGGAGGAAGCGGCGGGCGCAACGGTCATGTCGCGATCTATGAGCACGCCGTCTCTCCCGTCGCTCCGCGACGATCCCAAGTTTCTCCCCTCGGGAGCTTCCGGCGGACTCACCGCCGTTTCTTCCGCCGCCACCATCTCCGCTCTTTCCGCCTCCGCCTCCGCGCTCGCCTCCCCGCAATCACTCTCCCACCACGCGCTGCATCAGGCGCTTCCGCACGCCCGCGCATTTTCCCGCCCGTACCAGCTCCCCAATACCGCGCAAACCCTTCCCCCGCCGTCCTACAACCCGCACACTTCTTCCGCCCATCCCTTCGCCTCCGCCTCCTCCCCTTCCGCGCATCCATCCCCGCACCCCTTCGCCCCTTCCGCTTCCGCGCACGGCTTTCTCGATCTGAGTCGCTGCCAGTCGTATCCCGCAGTTCACATGCTCGAAAGCGGAAGCCCTTACGATAATCCCGCCCTTTCCGCCGCCTCCGCCGCCGCCGCCGCCGCCGCCACCCGTGGCGGCGCACTTTCCGCAGCATTTCCGCCGCTCACGCGTCCCATGTCCCTGCCGACCCTTCACCCGCCCTCCATTCCCGAGTCTTCCGCCGTTCCGTCGGTCGATCTAGGCCCCGCGCACTACCTCCCCTCCGCGCATGGCTTCTCCGCGCATCCGCACTCGCAGCCCCCCCAGTGGCACCTGCTCCCCTCGCCTTCCGCCAACCCCTCCGCCGCCTCCGCCGCCGCCGCGAGGGCGGCTGGGCGCGGGCCGATGGCGCTCGACTGGTCGATGTGCGCCGGCGGCGCTGCAGGCGCGGGGAGTTCGGCCGCCGCGGCGGCATTGGCGCGCCAGGGGGGGGACACGAGCATGGGTGGTGTTCCTGGGATGGGGGGCGCCGGGGCGGGGCTCGGCGCGCTTGCAGACGCGGCAGCAGCGCGGCACAGGATTGGGCATGAGATGATGATGCGAATGGGGCACGAAGCAACGGTCCAGATTGGCCATGAGCTGGCGCAACGGATGGCCAGGATGAGCCAGGCTGCTGAAAGAGCAGGGGCGGATGGGGGCGGTCCGATGCTGCTGGGGGGGAGCAGCAACGTGGAGAAAAGGACAAAACTTGAGAGTGGCATGGGCTTTCCTAGTACTGCTGGTGCTGTGGGTGGCGGAAATGCTGCTACTTCTGGTTCTGCTGCTGCTGCTGGTGCTGCTGGTGCTGCTGGTGCTGCTGCTGCTGCTGGTGCTGCCGCTGCAGCTGCGGGAGCTGGTAATGGCTCTGCTTTCTCCCCTTTCCGATCCGGAATGCCTACTTCTGCTGCTGCGGGTGCTGCAGCAGCAGCATCGGCATATCTCTCAACCTCTCCACCCTCCACCTACCCGTACGGTCCCCTCTCGTCCTCTCCCCCCACCGGTTACCCCTCCAACTACCCGTACTCATCCTTCCTCTGGCCTAGAACCACCTCGCATTTCCCTTCTCCTGCCTCTGCTGCTGCTGCGGCTGCAGCAGCAGCAGCACAGCAAGCAGCGTTCTCTGCTTCTACCCCTGCCTCTGCCTCTGCCTCTACGCCTGCTCCGGGTGGCTACGCTGCGGGTCCTTCGGGGGGCGCTGCTGCTACTGGCCCTTGGCATGTGTCTGGTGGGCAGGAAACAGCTGCTCAGAATAGCCTTTCCCACCCGCCGTTGGTGCCGAATGCTTTGTCTGGTGCGATTGCTGCTGCTGCTGCTGCTGGGGTTGCTTCTGCTGCTGCTGGTGCTGGTGGTGCTGTTACTGCTGAAAACCACTCTGTACCCACCACCACACTGCAGCTTTTTGACACAAGTCCCAAGGATCTGGCTCTGGAGGTGAAGCGGCCTGCGGCAGTGGCTGCTGCTGCTGCAGCAGCATCTGTTGCTGTCACAGCAGCAGCTAGACTTGCTGCGTCTGCCTCCCCTGAACCTACGAGTGATGTGAAGGCACCAATAAGTGTGCAATGATAATGGGAAGTTGGTGCCGGTTTTGACTTTACAGGCTATTGAACCATATGCGTTTTGTGTTTTGTGTTGTGCAATTGCCGTCAGCAGAAAGTGTTGTTGCTATTTAGTATCATGCCTTTTTGGCATGGATATCACTTACCGTACATTGTTTTCATGTATTCCGTTGTAACAACAAAGTTCACTACCAATCCATGCCCCGCGAAGCATAATTTTGGCATCCCAGCCCAGCGGGTTGGTGCTGTCATTTTCTGACATGTTTGAATTTGCATCCCAAAACTTGGAGGCGGCGTGGCGATGACGCCCTGTTACTGATCCAAATCCACTGGATTTGTCATTCGTTAGCCATTCGTTCCCGAGCCTGCTTGGTATTCGTGAGCTCCTGGTAGTTAAGTTCTTCTTTCATTGGTCAAGAATCCTTTTGTGATTAGATTCAAATTAGAAGGTGACAATGCGTGAGAAAGAGGAATGGTTGCCTTGGATATGATCCGTTGCTTCTCTCGATTGATGAATCATGGACGTTGATTCCGTGGTTGAGCTCCATGATCAGAACCGCTAAGTAAATATTTGAAACCGTACGAGCGATACAACGTTGAGGAGAAAGGAACGTTGAGCAATGGACGTTGAGTCAGCAGTAGCTCCGCTTCATGATCAGGAGCAACGGACGTCCATTGAGGTTCAGACGATCCAGGATCTGCGGTCTCAGTTCCCGCTTTGGAAACAGCAGATAGAGTGAGTGAGTGAGTGAATCGTCTTCTCTTCGTTTGTCGTGCATCGACACTTCGCTGAACCAGTGTCCCGCATTACATTCGTTCTCAGCGTTCCTTCACAGGTTTACAAAAGCACAATCTTACTAAGAAACGGCTGTGATTGTTTTATCGTATTATGTCCTTTCAGCGACGGATTCTCCCTCCTGTTCTACGGCCTCGGGTCCAAGCATGCGCTGCTCACCGCATTCGCATCGGAGAGCCTAGCGGACAAGACAGTCGTCACCATCAATGGCGCTGATGCCAACACCACCCCTGCTCGGGTGAGTCCACCAGTCATTATCCTCAGATCTCGGCTCCAAGCACGCCTTTCTCACAGCATTCGCATCGGAGAGTCGTCTAGCGGACAAGACAGTCATCACCATCGATGGCGCCGATGCCAACACCACCCCTGCACGAGTAAATGCTAAGTCTGCTGGTTATTATCCTTAGATCCTGGTTTCACGCACACCTGCTTTGAGACGTCTCAAAACTTGATTATCCTTAGATCCTGGTTTCACGCACACCTGCTTTGAGACGTCTCAAAACTTGATTATCCTTAGATCCTGGTTTCACGCACACCTGCTCGTCCTGCACGCCCAATCCTCTCCTTTCTCTGCTACAGCATTCCCACTCGAGTGTCTAGTGGACATCTAGTGACTTGGTGACGGCCAATGCCAATGCCACCAGCACCGCACTGATCACTCCTTTGATTCCGGTCCATGTCAGCTTAGAACCTCAATGTGCATGCGTCTTCACTTTCGCTAGTGCATGCTTGTATTCCCGGTTTCCGTGGTGCTCCTTAGTCTTATTTTCGCTTGGCGCTTTCGTTTTGCGTGTGATGTGCGTGCTTCGATAAGCAGCTTGAATGGCAGTGCATGCACATTAACTTATAAACCCGTGCGTGTCTGACTATGAATGCTGTGCTGTCCAGGAATGCATGTGATGCATGCGTTTGGTGACATGTCATTTCCAGATGGCAGCTGCAATTGCCTCGTCTTGTCAACCAGACACACCCATCAAAGGCCGAAAAGCATCTACCACACCATCAGCATCCGCCGCTGAGCTGGCACAATGGATCACGGATCTGGTAACCGAGCAGCAGCAGCAGCAGCAGCAGCAGGGGAAGCAGCGCCAGGCGTCAAAACAGCATCAGCAAACGAAGCAGCAGGAGCAAGCTGTTGGGGGGAACGCCAGTCTGAGGCTGTGCATTGTGGTCCACAATCTGGACGCTCCCCCTCTGAGAGCATCACCTGCATGCATCACCCTGCTCTCGCTCCTTGCTGCCTGCCCTGCAATCGCTGTCATCGCCTCAGTCGACCACGTGCTCTCCTCCGCATGTGAGTTGGTAGCATGCGGCGTTTGGGCAGCTGTAGCAGAGAACATGCCAGTCCGAGGCTGTGCATGTGGTCCACAATCTGGACGCACCCCCTCTGAGAACGTCGCCTGCCTGCGTCTCCCTGCTCACTCTCCTTGCCACCTGCCCTGCAATCGCTGTCATCGCCTCTGTCGACCACGTGCTCTCCTCCGCATGTGAGTTGGCATTTGGGTGTCCTACTCTATGTCCTACCTCGTGCCCTATGTCATATCTCATGCTCTATGTCATGCACTCCGGTCTTCCCATGCTCCTTCCCATGCGCCCATCCACGCTCATAAACACACATGCTCCTTCCACCCCGTGTGCTCATTGACTTTCACATATACCCCCCATGTTCCCAACCCCACAAAATATCTCCAGTATTTGACCGTCAGACCCTCTCTCTCTTCAACTTCGCCACCCATCACGTGGTGACACGTGGCGCCTACACCAAGGAGGCCTCCGCCTTCTCCCCCGCCACCCTTTCCCACACACCATCCGCCTCTGCTGCAGCACAAGCCGCCCTGCTGGTCCTCCGCAGCCTTCCCCCCAACGCCTGCCAGATATTCTCCCTCATTGCCCAGCCGTTTCTGCCAAGTGCTGCTGGTGGTAGTAAAGGCAGAGGCAGTGCAGGGGGCTCTGCTGGTGGCGGTTCTGGTGGTGGTGGGGGGGACGGGGATGGGGAGGAGGAAGGTGGTGGTACAGGCCAGAGAAACCAGCCTCAAGGTGCCCTTTCTCCCTGCTCCTCCTTTCTCCCTGCTCCTCCTTTCTCCCTGCTCCTCCTTTCTCCCTGCTCCTCCTTTCTCCCTGCTCCTCTTTTTCCCTGTTCCTCCTTTTTCCCTGCTCCTGCTTTTTCCCTGCTCCTCCTTTCTCCCTGCTCCTCCTTTCTCCCTGCTCCTCCTTTCTCCCTGCTCCTCCTTTCTACCTGCCTCTCCCTTCTCCCTGCCCCTCCCTTCTCCCTGCTCTTTCGCCTTTCCTGTCCCACATGTTCACTCAAACTGTTTCTTCCCGCTCTTTCAATTATGGTAACCAGTGATGCACCAATCGCACACTTACTTACATCCTGTGATGTATGGTTACCAGCAAGATAAATCAGTTTGTTCCTCCTCTCTTTCTCTACTCTTCCCCCCTGCCATTGTATCTGATTTCTCCAGCCCTGCCTTTCGCCCAGCTCTACTCCCTCAGCCGCACGCGCTTTCTGGTTACCAGCGAGGTGACGTTGCGGGCGCACCTAAGAGAGTTTGAGGACCACGCTCTGGTGAGGGTGTTCAGACAGGCGGATGGGACAGAGAGCGTGGGGCTGCTGCTGCCTGTGGGCGCTCTGACTCATGTGATGGAGCAGCTGGGTGGGAAGTGATGGGCTGGTGGTATTTCGAGAGCACCTAAAGGGGTTGAGGACCACACTCTGGTGAGGGTGTTCAGGCAGGCGGATGGCACGGAGAGCGTGGGGCTGCTGCTGCCCGTCCGAGCTCTGACTCACGTGATGGAGCAGCTGGGGGAGAAATGATGAGCCGGTGGTATTTTGAGAGCAGATAAGAGGGTTTGAGGACCACGCTCTGGTGAGGGTGTTCAGGCAGGCGGATGGCACGGAGAGCATGGGGCTGCTGCTGCCTGTGGCGGCTCTGACTCATGGGTGGAGCAGCTGGGTGGGAAATGACAGGCTGGCGTTTCCTGGTTTGAGTCGTCTTAAAAACTCTAATGATATGGAGCAGCTGGGCAGGAACTGATGGGGTGGATTGACCGATTGTACTTCAAGTGCATTGGAGGGAATATTGGGCTCTCTGGTCTAATGGCAGGTGGGACTGAGGGGGTGGCTGTGTGGCAATGCTGCTCTGCTCTGTGACAAGGTGTGCTGGAGGACGCACCCTCATTGCCTGTCGATAATAAAAATGTTGGAAACATATAGTTCGCGCTTCTGATGTGTTGATCACTACAACGTAAGCGAAGCGAACTACGACGAAGCAACAGAGAGTCAACCAAAGCGGTTGACAGAAAGACAACAGCAAGAGATTAAGTGAAGGTCAAAGGTCAGCGACCTTTGACTCGCCGAAAAGCAGCGCGACAGCAAGGACACATAACTGACTCGCTATTGAGCAGTTACCCGAGTCGTCGCTGTATCGAACCGCAACAGACGTTACAGTTAGTTAAACCTTTCATATTCCTTGTAATCATATAAAGCCTTGTTCTCACATACCAGTGCAAGGTGGTGCAAGGTACCAGTTACCCGAGTCGTCGCTGTATCTCTTCGCTATCATCAACTTATCTTGTTCTCACATACCAGTGCAAGGTGGTTAAACCAGATCACTAATACGCTTCCGCTAATACATCACTATTTTGAGCCTTGGTCCTGAAAACGATCCTAAGGGTTTTTCTCAGCCCAACAAAAAACGCCTCTGATTGTAAGCCCCTGATTGTAAGCGTGCATCGTACATCCCCAAGTTACCGTAAAATGACAATGGTCTTGTGGTTTCTACTAACAGCTGCCATTATCAAATGTCTGCAGTTCAACTGGTTCTCCACTTGACAGCCCGCACTGCGGTACTCAAAACGTGTTACAGGGGGGTTGCGGAATCGAAGGAGAGACAACCACCGGTACACTGCACAGCAGGCCATCGTCCCATCAAAAAGCTTGTCCATCAGCAGGAATTTTCGAACCCTCCGTGCACATGCAGCAAAACCACCCCAAGAAGGATTAGAGGCCACTAGAGCCAGCTCTACAACTCATAACCAGGAAACTTTGCTTCGTTGGGCCGGCTCATGTCCAGAAACAGACAAGCAGGGCCGCCCAGACCTTCCATCAGGGAGAACGGGTGGTCCCCACAGTGCATCGTAGTTGGCATGCAGGAAACCAGCAAATGCACGTGCCCTGTGGAGGTGACATGTCATCAGTGCTGACTTGGCAGTGTCTCCTCTGGTCAGAGCCGCGGGCGATGCTGACATGGCATTTCTAGGAGTTCCTGTGCCCTCGGCAGCAGCTGATCTCGAGCCTGGGGCAGAGGCCGATGCCGAGCCTGCGGTTGTGGCTCGGTGGAGAGCCAGGAAGGTGTAGGCGTTGCCGCTGATGCCGTGGCAGAGGCCGACCCTACGCAGCAAGCCTCGGTGCCAAACCACCTCCCCAGCCTCGATGGCTGCTTGCAGCAGGTGTGGCTTGGATGGGAACAGCTGGTGCGAGGAGGACAGGGGAAGAGACGGAGAAGAGAGGAATGAAGAGCATTGGATCCGAGGAACAAATTTGTGAGAGCTACAAGTTGGAACCGACGGATGGATGTGCCTTTCAAGTCAACAGCATGCAGCAAGAGCATAAAACCAAGGGTCTCACCATGGCAGCATGGGCGAGAGCTGGAGCCACACCAGGGGTGCCATGACACCAATGCACCAACCGATCCACCTCTCGCACCTCCCTCACCTCTCCCTCCCCTGAGCTGATGCCACTCAAGAGCATAAACCAAGGGTCTCACCATGGCAGCATGGGCAAGAGCCGGAGCCACACCAGGGGCGCCGTGACACCAGTGCACCAACCGATCCACCTCTCGCACCTCCCTTAACTCCCCTTCCCCAGCACCCGTGCTCCCACCCCCAGAAGCAGTAGCAGCAGCGCTACTGCTTTCTCGTGCATGTGCTTTTCTGAGTGCAGCAGCAGCCGCTCGGCTCTCCCCGTCGCTCGCAGCATAGTTCCATGAAGGCAGGCGAGTGGCTATGAGGTATTCCAGAGCTGCTGCCGCTGCCTCTGCTGCCTCCTCCAGTGTCCTGTCTCTCTTTTCCCTTGCACTGCCTCCTCCCACTGCTGCTTCCCCGACGCCGGCCGTTGTACCCCTCTCCTCCTCCAATTCCTCCAGTTCTTCCTCTAGTTCTTCTCTCCTCAGCAGCAGCAGCACGTGTGCTATCCCTGCCACGCCATGTGCTGCCCCCAGGTACCGGGTGTCGTACCATTCGTACATGAGGGGTGGGAGGGGGTCGCCATCTGCAGGGAAGGTTACGTGGGGCATGACAGTACCGTTGCACATCCATGCATGGTAATTTAACACTGTGTGTTGTGCTGCCCGCAGGGTACCGGGTTCCGTACCATTCGTACATGAGCGGTGGGAGGGGGTCACCATCTGCAGGGAACGGGCAGCATGGAGCAACATGGATCAGGCCAGAATGGTATCAGGACCAAAATTCAATGCAACAGATGGCTATGCAGTCTCTGCAAGCCCCACATGCTTGCCTCTTACCATGACCATAAGTCAAGGCAAGGGACAGCCCAGCATCCACAATACGCTTTGAGGCGAGTTGAATTTTGAGTTGTCGAAAAGGCAATCTCTACAGGCCTACCCTACTTTCCTGTCGTTGTGCTCACCATGATTATAAGTCGACGCAAGGGACAGCCCAGCATCCACAATGGCAGCAGCAATGGGGCGGGCGAGCGAGAGCGGAAGAAGCTTCCTCCGCATCTCCACAGGAAGGTTCCTGCGTAGGAACAGGAAGGCCCAGAGCATGCCCGCTCTGCCGTATAGTAGCTCGTGGGGGATGGTGGCTGGTGCGGTGTCGGTGGGGGAAGAGGGGAGGAGGGAGAGCGAGGGGAGGGCGGAGGTGAGGAGGGAGAGGAAGGAGCGGAGGTAGGGATTGGAGTCGAGCTCCTCGTGCTGCTGCTGCTGGTGCTGCTGCTGCTGCTGCTGCTGCTGGGAGTGATGATTGAGATGATGTTGCACAACAGCTCCCATGGCGAGGATTCCTGGTTGACCGCAGTAGAACGTGTAATGCCTGATGTGCATTGGGAATGGGTGGGTGGGTTGGAGGTGTGTGTGTGGGGGGGGGGTGTGGAAGAGTGGAGAGGGAGGGGGATGGAGGGATGGGGAGGAGAAGAGTGAGAGTTTGAAAGGGTGGGGCGAATGGGATGGTGCTAACACAAGGCGAATGGGCTCTAGCTTGCTGAGGTAAAAAGCAATGCAGCACCCACGTTCGGTGGCGCTCCGCCATGTCAGCAGCAGCCCGGATGATGTCAGCAGCAAGTGCCAGGTCAGCAACGTCTCCTGTGGCATGATAGGCTCGGAAGCACACCCAGGCTGTCCCCAGCAGGCCCACATAGAGGAATGGGTCCCGCACCCTGCGAGCTGGCGCTCCGTTCGTCCACGTGGCTTGCACTATCTGTGTCGGGGGAGGAGGGGAAAGAAGGGAGAAAGGGGAGAGGGGGGAGAAGAGGAGGAGGGATGAAGCACACCCACACTGTCCCCAGCAGGCCCACATAGAGAAAGGGGTCCCGCACCCTGGGCGCTGGAGCTCCGTTCCTCCACCTGGCTTGCACTACCTGTGTTTCCGTGGCAAGAGGGTAGGGGGGAACGAGCAGCAGGCTGAGAATCACAGAGGAATGGGTCCCGTATTTTGGGTGCTGGCGCCCCGTTCCTCCAGTCGCTTCCACTATCTGTGTTGGGGATGGGAGACGGAGTAGTGGGAGGGGAGGAAGGGGGAGGGGGGGAAGGGGGGAGGAAGGGGAAGAGTGGGGAGAAAGGGAAAGAGTGGGGAGAGAGGGGAGGGGGGCGGAGAGAGGGGAGGGGGGCGGAGAGAGGGACGATTGAAGACACTCACGTTTGTCTCAGCAGCCCCACATAGAGGATAGCATGCCCCCTGGGGGAAAGAGATCCTTATTTCCACGTGGCAAATGCAAATTGAATGGGAGAGGAGAAGGTGCAAATCGAAGGGAGAAGGGTAATGCTTTGGCAGATCAGAAGAGGGAGAGGCCGGGTAGGAGGAGGTGAGTTCCAAGGGGGGGAGGGGGGGAGGGCTGGGGGAAGTAGAGAAGGATTTTCGGAAAGAAATAACGAGGCGCAAATAACCCCACCTGATCCTTAAGCTCCAAGCCTGCTCGAAGAAACTCCTCCTCAGACTGAACAGCCGAAGACGGCCCGACACCTGGCAGTGACGACCCCAACCCGCTCTCCTCACCCCGGCCTTCCCCTGTTACAGACACTCCTGGTTTTCCCGTGACATTCACTCCGCCTCCCCCCGTTACTGTCACTCCTGCTCCTGCAGGGACCCCTAGTTCCCGGACCCTTTGCTCCACTTGCGCTACAGCAGCCTGAGAGGGGTCATAGTCGGCTAGCAGGTTGTGGAACCGGCGGCCGTCAGCCACAGACACGGGAAAGGCGGCAGCGCGAACGGTTTCTTGGTGCTGCTGAGGGGATTCCCGGTCGCTGTGATGCTGCCGGCGGTGCTGCTGGTAACTCATGACTGTTACTAACGGGGATGCTCTTGCCGCTTGAGGCAATGCCTGCGCGAAATTTTTGAACGACCGGAAACCCGCGGACGAGAACGGAGAGAAACGGGCGGCGCAGCGAGAAGCGGCGGCGGAGGCGGAAGAAGCGGAATAAGCGGACGCGGAAGCGGAAGAAGGTGCGGAAGCGGTAGTACTACGCGGGAGAGCGGTGGTGACACTACATCGGCGCGTAAGGGGTGGCGCGCGACGACATGGGTGTGCGAGAGAGGAAACGCTCCTAGCGGAGACCGCGACAGACAGCATTTACCGCTCCTGCTGCTCCCCCGCACCGAATGTGGCTGCTCTTAGCGGTGAGAATGCGACCAGCGTTACACAAGGAAGGTCAGCTAGACTCGAGGAGATGGGAGGATGTCAGCAAAAGGCCGACTGCTTATCGTGCTCGATGATTTTCGTCACCCCGTTTTGGTTCCGGGAGACACGTGGATAGGCAGAAATGGCACGCAGCGAGGGCAAGGATTGCAGAACGGAATTCGGAACACGTGACAAATGCGAAATTCGTGTTCAGCATGTAGGAGATTGGGTTGCAGCGTGAAAGATATTGGGGAAGCTTGGCGATCTTCGCTGGTCGGTTCGCAACTGCGTGGCGAAGAAAGGCGACTGGACGAAGCGGGTGACATCCCTCCGAGGTTTTGACGGATGTTTTTAGCGCGTACGAACAACCTTGATTCAAAGATATCTATAAGGGCCTCCGAAGTGTACATCCTCCCAGAGAGAGCACACCCCAGCGCAAGTCGGGTCATCCACTGTGGTTCAAGTTCACATGCGCTAAAATGGGTTCCTGCTTCTCCACCGCTTTCAAAGGTGACGCACCGAGGAAAACCGTAAATAATGAATTGAAAAGGACCGTACCGGACTCCCGTTTCTTCCCTTCTGACAGAATTTCCTCCGCTGCCTGACACACGCGATTCGAACTCCCCCACCCACCACCAGTCAACTTCGGATGCTGGTTGAACCAAAACCGAGGAGCATCTGTCCCGATTCCCTAGTCACTTCAACCAGAAAGTAAAGCATCACCCTGAGTTCATCGCCTTGAAGTTACCGCTAACTCGTCGGTTTCACCGCCGCCTAGACGTCATACCAGCCTTGGAGTTCCCGTCACCACCTTTAACGTTACCTCAAGCCACGAGGAATTATCCACTTCCGTACAACTTTTCCAGCTGAGACTATTGGACGGCAATCGCTTTCCGCTGTCTCTGTTAGCTGCCGCCGAGCAATAAATTGTCACAAACCTTTAATTTATCGACTTATTTATCATTTAAGGGATCTTCACGGTAGGATACTGAGCTCTCGACGAGGAACAATGGAGGATGACCATGCGCTACAACTGGCGGACGGTTTCGCTAACACGCAAAACCTTGACCACTGTATCGCGTACCCGAACGAGTCATTGGTACTGCTCGGTCTTCCACCGACCCTCGCTCTTCGATCCGATGAAGCGGTTAGTACCTCACCCGAAAATTTACTCGAATAGCTCGTGTCGTATCAGGTAATAACTAATATGTGATGCTTCGCAGGTTTCTCTTTGATTTCCAGTTCCCTGAGCTGCTTGGACTGGCATAAATAAACGGGATTCTTTTTAAGTGGATCTACGACCCGTAAGCCGTTTACCCATTCTCCAACGACTAGCACTTGTTTTGTGTCATGACTTGTCGCACAAACCGTCGCAGGCGTCAATGGCGACGGCGTGCGACTGCATCTACCAGCTAGTGCAGCAGCGGCAGGCGGATGCGAAGCAGCGCGACGACCTGGCGACGCAGCGACACCGGCTGATGTGCGACCTGGCGACGGCGGAGAGTCGCTCAGATCGTCTAGAGGACGAGCTGGAAGTCGCCAGGCGGAAAATCCAATCGCTTACGGCGCAGGTGGGGGTGTGGGTCGGGAGCAAGGGAGAGGAGAGAGGAAGGTGGATAGAATTCGTTAAGATTGGGCGGGAACGGGTGCGGATGGGTGCAGGAAAGTTCTGGATAAGCACAGCCGTTTATCATCGTGCGAAAGAGTACGAGGAGGCGATCCAGTCACAAGCCTAGTTTCCAGCACCGGAGGGATCCCCCGTGTGAATCGTGTTTCTCATCTCACCGTACCTCGTGTCCTCTCCTCTCCTCTCACTCTCGTCACACCTTCATGCGTGTGACATGAAATGGAGCGACTCTCCTCTCCCCTCCTCTCCTCCTCTCCTCTCCTCTCACTCTTCGCTCTCCAGGAGCAAAAAGCGGCGGCAGAGTTCAAGGCGCAGATCAAGAAGCTAAGAGCAGAGAGGGACGAGCTCAGCAAGCACGTGATCGCCCTGCAGGTGGGTCAGCACGCCGTGCAGTATCCTCGATACTGTTGTTTCCTCGATACTCTTGTGTCCTCGATACTGTTGTATTCGACTCAATCCAATCCACCATCTGACTCAATGATTCTTCACGGCGCCTTCCAGAACTTTTCCTAAACGTTTATTCACCACTCTCGTCCCACCATCCACCCCACGCCTCTCCCACGCGACCACTGCAGCAAGTGAAGGCGCAGCAGGCGTTCGAGCTGCGCAAGGAGAAGCGCGAATTTGTGAAGCTGTAGGAGAAGCTGGCGTCATTTGTGATGTGCCCCTCTCACACCATCCCTCCCCCGGCCCCTTCCCCCCGTTCCCCCCACGCCTCGCTACCATCCCCCTGCAGCAAGTGAAGGCGCAGCAGGCGTTTGAGCTGCGCAAGGAGAAGCGCGAGTTTGTGAAGCTGCAGGAGAAGCTGGCGTCGTGCGTGGGGGGCAAGCGCACGCCCGCCAGACAGCCAGGCGTGGACATAGTCAACCTCAACCCCCAGATACAGTGCTATGCCGTGCGGGCACAGAAAATGGGGAGTAGCCGCGTGGATCATGGAGGTACGAGCGACCTCCATGACTAAGCCAATGCGGCGCTCAGCAATCCCATTTTGCTGCGGGGAGGCCGAAAGCGAGAACGACTGGAGAATGCCCTCCCCGCGACAAAAGTCCCGCAAGAGGTCGGAGGAGAACTCACCACCTCTGTCAGAGTGCAGACGCAGGACAGGATGGTCCTCGCGAAACCGCTCGCGGAGCTGGAGACGGACTACGCGGATCCAAGGGATGAAGACATCAGGGACCTCACCCTTACTGCGCAAGGGGAAGACCGTGGTGTAACGCGTGTAGTCGTCAACAACCAGCAGAAAGTTGCACTCGCGGCTCTGTCCACTGACGCGGGCTGGGCCCCACACGTCCATGTGGAGAGTCTGTAGGGGAGCACTCGTCGGGGAAAATGGGGAGTGAGGAGCGGCGCGCTGCCGCCCCTCGACGCAAGGAATGCAGGGCGGGGCAGGCGAGGGCAGGAGGGGAGGCAGAGACCTGGGAAGACCAGAGACAAGGAGGCGGGGGTGCATGCCACGAAGGCGTGGCAGGGAGGGGTGACCAAGTCGGTGGTGCCACAGGAGAGTCTGGTGCGACAGGAGGCGACACGAGCAGGGGGGTGCTACCAGACTGGACGCGGACACCTGGGCAGACGCAGCTACCTGAGGAGGCTCGGTAGCCAGGGTGTACAGACTCGACCCGGGCCGACGGGTGAACGTGGCGAGGTGATGGCCTGTCCGTGTGCACGTGCAGATCGACACACGCTGACCCCCAGGAGTGGTCGTAGTGACCATCGCATCCTGGAGGGCAGCGGTACTCACCAAGTTTGTAGAGAACGAGGGGAGGTGAAGACCTGACATCGAGCCGGACGGAACCGCCGGACACGGGAGAACAGTGGAGGAACGGGCAAGAACTGGGCCCCCTGAGGGGTCAGCCAGTGTGACCGGATGAAATAGCGGGAAGCACTTGAGTCAAGTGTAAAGGTGTGCAAGGCCTCAGCAGGCGCAGGACCAGGGAGAGCAGACTCACTAGCACCTAGAGCAGCAGCCTCTATACCTGGGTCAGCCGGCACACACAGGTAACAGTCACCCTCAGCACTAACAGACAAGGCATACATAGCAGCAAGGATATGTCAAACTTATATGCTATAGTCTGTTTAGGCTGTAGTGGGGTAGTTCTTAGAGGGTACAACACTTTTGTGTTTCCTACTTGTACCCATCTGCTTCCTAGTTCATTCATTCCTCTCATTATTCTCACATGGTATAGAGCAGGTTCCCTAGTGGGACTGTTTTTTAAGGGCTCACCACTACGAAATTTTTTTGTTCCTTACCTGCCCGTAGCGCGCTTTGCGTTTGTCCTAGCTGCGCCCCGTGCACCTGCCCTTCGAGGCCATTCGTGCCCCCCCCCCCCCCTCCTTTTCGCCAACCCCCTTTTTCTTACGGCCCTTCGCGGCCCTTTTGCGGCCCTTCGCGGCCCCTTTCGCGGCCCTTCGCGCCCCCCCCCCCCCCCTTTTCGCGGCCCTTCGCGGCCCCTCGCGGCCCTTCGCGGCCCCTTTTGCCGCCCTTCGAGGCCCCTTCGCGGCCCTTCGCGGCCCTTCGCGGCCCCTTCACGGCCCTTCACGGCCCTCTCCGAGGCTCCTCGCGGCCCCTTAGCGGCCCCTTCCGGCCCCTGCTGACGCGCCCCTGCTGGCGCGCCCCTACCGGCCCCTGCTGGCGCGCCCCTGCCGGCCCCTGCTGACGCGCCTCTGCCGGCCCCTGCTGACGCACTCCTACTGGCGCGCCCCTGCCGGCCCCTGCTGACGAGCCCCTGCTGGCCCCTGCTGGCGCGGCCCCTGCTGGCGCGCCTCTGCCGGCCCATGCTGACGCGCCCCTGCTGACGCGCCCCTCCCGGCCCCTACTGAGGCGCCTCTGCCGGCCCCTGCTGCCGCGCCCCTACTGGCGCGCCCCCGCCGGCCCCTGCTGACAAGCCTCTGCCGGCCCCTACTGGAGCGGCCCCTGCAATCACGGCCCGCCCCTGCACCCATCTCTGGTAAGCCGAGCCGCGCCGCCCAGCCGAGCCGCGCCGCCCAGCCGAGCCACGTCGCCCCCACCGAGCCGCACTGCCCTACCGAGCAGCACTGCCTTGCACTGCCCTGTTGCTACTGCTGCTACTGCTGCTACTGCTGCTACTCTTGCTACTGCTCCTACTGCTGCTATGGCTAGTCCTACCGTTCTCACCTTTGATGCTGAGGGACGTGCAGTTGACTTTGACGTGTGGGTTGACGACCTACAGCTCTTTCTTCAGTGTGATTCTAGGGATGGGGTATCCCTTTTCGATCACACGTCTGGTGTTTCCACTGCTCTTACTGCCACTGCTGACAGTACGGTTCGCTCGCAGTGGACCACTCGTGACGATGTTGCTCGTCTTGCTGTTCGTAGTCACCTGCCGCCTGCTGAGCGCGCACACTTTGGCCAGTACAAGACTGCTCAGTCTTTGTACGACGCTGTAGTTGCACGCTACTCCTCCCCTGCCACTGCTGCCCTCAGCCGCCTCATGCTGCCATACCTTTTCCCTGACCTTGCCGCCTTTGCCACAGTCGCTGACCTAGTTGCTCACCTTCGCACTAGTGACGCCCGCTACCGCGCTGCCCTTCCCACTGAGTTCTGTGCCAAGAACCCCCCCTCCATGTACATCACCCTTTACTACCTAGTCACCCGCCTCCCTGACTCCCTTTCTTCAGTCAGGGACCACTTTCTCTCCCTTTGCCCCACCGAGCTGACTGTCGACCTGCTAGAGGAGCGCCTTGCTGCAGCTGAGAAGAGTATCTTAGCTGTAGGTGCTTCTCGCGGCGACCGTCGCACCCCCTTCTTTGAGGGGTGTTCCCCTGTCCCCCTTCTCCCCTCTGTTGCTTCTGCTGTTGCTGCCGACCTCGTTGGCACTGAGGAGGTCGGAGCTGCGTCTGCCCCTAGTGGGAGACGCCGCAACAGCAAGGGCAAGGGGAGCAAGGGTGGTGGAGGGGGCGGCGGGGGAAGCAGTGGAGGAGGTGGAGGAGGCGGAGGAGGTGGCGGTGGAGGTGGTGGCGGCAGTGGCGGAGGTGGTGGAGGCAGCGGCAGCGGTGGTGGAGGTGGTGGCGGCGGTGGTGCTGGTCGAGGTGCAGCCGCGCCGCGTGGAGGCTTTGGTGGCAGCCAGCGCCAGCAGCAGCTGTGCTCCCGTGAGACCCCGTCGGTCCAGCAGCTTCATGAGTGGTACGCTGGGCGTGGGAGGTCTGGGGGTGCAGGTCCCTGCACTTACGTTCTTCGCACCGGCACTCGTAGTGGGGAGGTGTGTGGGTTCCCACACAATACTCAGCGCTGCTTCGGTCGCTTGACTGACGCTTGGCGTGCCCAGTTTCCTGACGCCGTTGAGCTCCCTCGCCGGCATGATCTGTTTCTGCAGAATGTGCCTGTCTTTGATCTAGATTTTGATGCTATCCTTGCTGCCATGTATGCTATTGCTGATAGTACTGAGGGTGACTGTTACCTGAGTGTCCCGCCCGACCCGGGCATTGCGGCTGCTGCTCTAGGTGCTAGTGCGTCTGCTGCTCCAGGTACTGGTGCGTCTGCTGCTCCAGGTGCTGGTCCGTCTGCTCTCTCTGGTACTGCACCTACTGAGTCCTTGCACACTTTCACACTTGACTCTGGTGCTTCGCGCTCTTTCTTTAGAGACAGCACCACGCTCACGCCGCTCAGTCGGCCTGTTGCGGTCTCCCTTGCTGACCCCTCAGGGGGCCCAGTTCTTGCACACTCCTCCCCGGTTCTACCGTGTCCTGCGGCCCCGTCGGGCTTGCTGTCGGGACTCCACCTCCCCTCGTTCTCTACGAACTTGGTGAGTGGAGCTGACCTCCAGGACGTGTGGGTTGACCAGTTCACCCCTGGAGGTCAGCGTGTGACCCACTGCACTTGCTCTCGGACGGGCCGCCACCTGGCCACGTTCACCCGTCGGCCAGGGTCGAGTCTGTACACACTGACTACTACGTCTCCTCCGGTCTCTGCGTCTGGTCAGGTAGCTGCGTCTAGTCAGGTGTTTGCTGCTGCGTCCAGGTCTAGTCCTGCGTCTGCCCCCTGCTCGTGTCGTCCTCTGTCGCACGAGACCCTCCTTTGGCACCACCGCCTTGGTCACCCCTCCCTGCCTCGTCTTCGAGGTATGGCCTCCCGTGCCCTTGTCTCGGGTCTACCCCGGTCACTCCCTCCCCTTCCTCCGGGGCCTGCCCCCACCTGTGTTCCTTGTGTCGAGGGCAGGCAGCGCGCCGCTCCTCACTCCTCCTCGTTCCCTCCGACTGAGGCTCCTCTGCAGACTCTTCACATGGACGTGTGGGGCCCAGCCCGCGTCCGTGGACAGGGTCACGAGCGTTACTTCCTGCTGGTCGTTGACGACTACTCGCGTTACACCACAGTCTTCCCCTTGCGCAGCAAGGGTGAGGTCCCTGAGGTGTTGATCGACTGGATCCGCGGTGCTCGTCGCCAGCTCAGTGAGAGTTTCGCTTCAGACCTTCCTGTTCTGCGTCTGCACTCAGACAGAGGTGGGGAGTTTTCCTCCGACCTCCAGAGGGCCTTCTGTCGTTCGAAGGGCATCCGCCAGACGTTCACGCTTCCGGCCTCCCCGCAGCAAAATGGGATTGCTGAGCGCCGCATTGGCATGGTCATGGACGTCGCTCGTACGTCCATGATCCATGCGGCTGCTCCCCATTTTTTGTGGCCGTTCGCGGTTCAGTACGCTGCGCATCAGATCAACCTTCAGCCTCGTGTCTCCTTGCCGGAGACCACACCTACTCTGCGGGGGACGGGGAAGGTTGGCGATGCGTCCGCGTTCCGTGTCTGGGGATCTCGAGCTTTTGTCCGCGATACTACAGAGGACAAGCTGTCCTCCCGTGCCGTTCCCTGTGTCTTCCTTGGCTTCCCTCCTGACGCACCCGGGTGGCAGTTCTACCACCCCACCTCGCGTCGTGTTCTGTCCTCTCAGGATGTCATGCTTGACGAGTCGGTGTTGTACTACCGTCTTTTTCCCTACCGCACTGCCTCTCTCCCCC